AAACTTAAAAATGGTTTCGAATTTTGCAACGAAATCAAAACCTTTGAAAAATTTTTGAAACTATCTTGGGTTTTTACGAAACATTTTGAAGGTTCCGATTTCGTTGCAAAAATGATTCTGTATGGTACCTTAATTGTTTTTTAGAGTAGTTTGTAATTTTTGACAAAAATAAAAATATTGATTTGATAAAATGCAACCTTTTACATTACTATGTATGGTATGTATTGTCTTTCGTTGTTTCGTATCGGCCAAAAACGTGCGATTTACTTATTATTGGATTGCTTTTGAAGAAGGTTAGTGAATACATGAAATGTTAACGTTGAAAAACTATTGATGTTTTTTTCCTCTTTAGATTATCCAGCTGGTTCTGATCATAATTTGAAAAGTTGCAGCGGTGGTACACTTGCGAAAATTTCAAAAACTTATTGAAAATCATTACAAATGGAATGTAGTGAACGACTTCGTACTGGCGAGTCTGTATAAAAGATCTGATTTTTCTTTCGAGCTCTCTTTTGTTTTTAGATATGTAAATGGAGGCAATAGTGATTGTAGTTGCTTTATGAAAGTCTCTAATCCACTAGGTTCTAAAGGAAATGCACTTCAACCGTACGTAAGTATTGGTAAGTCATTAAATGTCTGTTGATTTCTGTTCGTTATTCAAATAATTACTCATCTTTTTGTAACTCGTAGCCGCAAATGATATATCATATGAAAGTAAAGTTTTTGTTCATCAATTGAATGGTATTGTACTAGCAAGTAAAGAAATTTACTATACCGAAAACTTGGTTTTTTTTCAACAGATTTTTTTTGTTTAGATGGTAAAATTCATAATGGATGTGTAAGAGTTGATGATGTCAGTTGGAGTTTTGGTGGAAATCATATCGATTTTTATGTTCTTCGAAAATCAAACTATGAAATACTTTCACCTCGTGTTGATGGTCAAGTTGATATTACACTTAATTCTAATTGTGTTATTAAAAGTTATTAATGGAAAAAAAACATGAAATAAATGAGTCTATCATATGAGAAAAAAGAGGAATAGAAACTTGGATTTTTTTTTGATCAATGTATTCGTGTTTATTTGTCAAACAAAGGATTGATAGTAGAAAAAAGAACAACTTGAACCCATTGGCAATGGGATTTCTTTTTAAGAGATCCAAAAGCTGCGACTTTTTTTCGTAACGACTTGAAATAAGACATATACGTCAAGAGAAATAATAGATTTCGTGAAGAATCATTGAACTCCATAAGATTCTGGAATTGTAAAGTTAAGTCAAAAGGTGCAAAATTTTATACGTAGAATTCTGCAGATGGCTCCATGGAAAAATTCGGAATACGACATCATAATACAGATCTTATAATATCTAATATCTGACGATCTTTCACACTAGACAAAGAGGGAACTAGTACTAGTACAGATTTCACACCGATCCGTAACCGATAGATCGGTCGTTAGTGATGTGTCTCATTAATTTTTTTGCTCTTACTATTTCGAAGAGTACATATAATGAAACTTTGTTGAAAGCTCATTAAATCAAATATCACTATCCACAAATGGAATAGCACGAGAGTTTATGAGTGCACACTCTCCGACGTTACAGCTTTAATAGTAGACACAGTTGCATCGAACAATAATAGTTCTGGAATTTCACAGAATTTTACAGAACTTTATTTAGCTTCGTGTTACTTTAAAAGATGTTGGATGCAGACATTTCATAAATTCTCGAGTACTTGCCAATTCTAAATTCTTTGTTTTGCTCAATATAAATGCCTAACACTAACAGGATGTGTTCAATGTCGACATGAATACTAAAAGGATATTCAGTTTGTAAGAATAGAATCGATCTAATTCTTGTTTTATTCATATTGATCGATTTAATAACGAACCAGAATAAGAACTTATAGAAGGCTAAAAAAAAATGAAGATCACATTTCAATATAGTTGAGTACATAGTAATGCGTCTCTTAATAAATTCTACCATTGAATGCATTTAAACGATATATCATTGTAATTAATCGTTGTTTAAAATAATAAGAATGAATATTTTTTAACAAACAATATATAGTGATGATATATAATTACAGTACTGTATAAGTTGGTTTGTATATGGCTCAAAAAATTACAGATGTCTATTTTCTTGATAAACGAATCAATGTAATCATATATTAAAATGTACTCAATGATGAATACTAATGACTGAATATTTAATACTAACATAAGTTTGATTAGAATAAATCCAAACATCAGTCACGTTTAGATGCAAAAAGAAGAATATTTATAAAGATTTAATGATAACGTCTGTTCTTTTAAGAATGAATTCAATTTTCTTTTTGAACATTTTCAACGACAAAATAATCTACTTCCGATCAGTGATATCAAACAACAAAGTTTTCAAAATCCTTCTAGATTTTCAAAGAACTTTAATCTAGCTCATAACTTCATATAATTCATAATGACATCAACTATAGTGATCATTAAATGATTTCTCGTCATTAGTATGCTCTGAATATCAGAAATATGAAATAGATAAATGCACCATTGCATTCTTATTTTTCTCATTAATTAATATACTTCCATTTACTTTTCTCTATCTATCATTTTCATGTCAATTAAAATTTACCGAATATAACTGAAAATTAACATATATTTGACAAATTTTTGTGGGTTAAATAATTTACCTGTAGTTTGTCTCTATTCTAAAATGATAGTAACACATTTATTTATCTAACATCATATTGAATCAGTATGTAACGCGAAGCTTTTTTTTTTCTTTCGACAAACTTATCTATCTTATCTTCCATTGCAACAAGTGTCAAAAGAAAAATAACTTGACTGCATGTTATAAAAATACGAAATCAAACAACATGCTAAGTGTTAAACGATTATTATTATCATCATTTCATTGTCGTCATATTCATTGTTTCAGTACATATACATTTGATATAAATCCTGAAGTAAAATTAGCTTTAAATGAACGTCGTCCAATTGTTGCATGTGAAACAGCTATTCTTACACATGGTTTACCTCGACCATCAAATATTGAAACATGTTTACGTATTGAACAAATTATTCGTGAAAATGGTTCAATACCAGCAACAATTGCTATTTTAAATGGTCGAATTAAAGTTGGACTTACACAAACTGAATTAGAACAACTTGGTTCATCGAATAATGTTGAAAAAGCTTCTCGACGTGATTTACCTTATCTTATATCTCGTCAAGCATCAGCTGGTACAACCGTTGCAGCAACAATGCTTATTGCACATCGTTGTGGTATTCCATTATTTGCAACTGGTGGTATTGGTGGAGTTCATCGAGATTCAATAACTACTGGTGATATATCATCAGATTTAGATGAATTAGGACGTACACCTGTTTGTGTTGTTTCAAGTGGTGTTAAATCAATTCTTGATATTCCTAAAACACTTGAATATCTTGAAACAAAAGGTGTTGGAGGTACTATTGAAAAAAGAAAGAAATATATATTTACATAGAACGTATGTTTCGTTTTAGTTTACACATTTAGTGATACAGATGAATTTCCAAATTTTTTTACACGAACAAATGAATTTCGATCACGTTCATGTGCAGCTATTCGTACTATTGATGAAGCAGCACGACTTGTTCGTTGTATGATTGATTTAAAACTTAATTCTGGTTTGTTACTTGCTGTTCCTATTGATAAAGAAGATGAATTAGAAGAAGATGGTGGAGAAAAGATTGAATCAATTATTCGTGAATCACTCGAACGAGCTACCCAGGAAAAAATAACTGGTAATAAAGTTACACCATTTGTTCTAAGTGAAATTCGTCGTCAAACGGGTAATAAATCAATAAAAACGAATCAAAAATTAATTTATAAAAATGCTCGTATTGCATCACAAATTGCTGTTGCTTTAGCATCAGTTAAATCAGATTCATCTTCTTTAAGTAAGTTATTATAATAGACAAAAAAAAAATTATACATTTTATTATTCCATAAATAAAGTTATTATTGGAGCACGAAATATCGATTTACATATTCAACTTAATGCTGATTTTACCCCATATAAAGGTTCAACTATTCCTTGTCGTTTACGTCAGAATTTAGGTGGAGTTGCATATAACGTCACACATGCTTTGCATCTACTAAGAAATCATTCTATTCGTCTTCTTACTGTTTCGGGTGCGTCAAACATATTAACAATAAATGATCCAACTCCAACTCTTATTCATGAAATTGAAGGTGAATCAACAGCAAATTATATTTCTTTACTTGATTCGAAAACAAATGAACTTATTTGTGGTTTTGGTGATATGGACATATATGAAAGACAAATAACACCAGCATTTTTAGATAAAAATCTTTCAATTTTAATTAATAGTCAATGGATTATGTTTGATGCAAATTTGAGTCAAGTAGCAATAAAATATTTAACAGAAATCAGTCGTAAATATAAAAAATATTTAGTATTTATTTCTGCTGGTGGTCCAAATAAAGCTCGACGAATTAATTCATATTTAAAAGATATTCATGTACTTTTTTGTAATCGTGTTGAATTTCAAGCTATTACAGAAACATCATCATCAATAGAATTGAGTTTAAAAGATTTATTTAAAGAACATTCTAATTTAAAATTAATTTGTATAACAATGGGTTCTGATGGTGTATTAATATGTATTAATGGAAAATTAAAAAAATATAAAGCTTTAATCACAGATCAAGAACAACAAGATATTAAAAATGTAACTGGAGCTGGTGATAGTTTTGCTGCAGGTGTTATGAATCAATTATTAAAAACAAATTTTAATCATATTGATCGAGCTATTGCATATGGTTTATTATCAGCAAAATATACTTTAAAATCTGCTAATACAATTAGTGAACAATTAAAAACAATTGACGATGTTATGATTGATGAGATTTGTTTGAAAGAACTTAAATGTGAGAATATTGATGTGTAATTATTTGTTTATAATTTCAAAAAATTGGAAATTAAGCATATCGAGTTTAGTCATAGTTGTGATTCTTTTTTATCTAATACTCAATGATGTATAGATAGACAACGAGTTTTTTTTCGTGATCATAGGTTGGTTTTTAAATTCATTTCGGATGAATATTGTTATAATATTCGGCTTGATTAGATATACTTGATAAATATAGATTCAAATATTTTTAATTCATTATTAACAAATATAATTTATATTATTCTTGCAATTATATTCAAAACAGCTCCCAATATGGGTCAATTTGTTCAGACTCGATTTCAAACTTTACAAAAATAAAACGGCCAATGAGATTAGTTCACAGAATGAGCCGTAATTCTTTTTTAGTAACTTCTATCGTGTGATATTGAATATTCGACATTCTCTCATATATAAACTCACATTTTGTTCATCTCTGTACATCTTGTGAAAGGAAATACTAGAAAAATTAAAACTTGCATACATGCACTAATCGAATTTAGAACTTTGCTCATGACAAATTTGCAGTTGAAACTCGAAAATCGACTTTTCACGTAGTCGTCGTAGAATGACAGTTTTTTCTTAAAAAAAACCCAGTAAGTTTTCGATAATTAGAGAACGCTGGTTTGGAAAACAGAATCATTCTAGACTTTTTTGATATTCATCAAATGAATGAAGTCTCCGTCGAAAATCTATTGCACACTTACAGAGGTTACCTTCTTAATGCAATAATACATGTGACGATTTCAGCAACGAACTAAATATCTGTAAAAAAATTTCAGATATTATGACAGCTGCAAAATCATTTCAAATTTTAAATGAAGAGTACAAAAAATGCTAATGATTGCTTTGGTTTTTTTTCTTAAACAAGGTATTGTACAATAAAATTTGAAGATGAATACGCTCATATTTTACAATTAAAACTATAATAACAAGAAGTATCTGCAGATATTCATAGGTTTCCGTAGGTATTCGAGTTTTTTTTTACAGATATCCTCATCGAACCATTGAAAACCGTTCACTATATCGAGGTGTTCGATTTGAAGAGTTGGCTTTTAATTTGCTGTACAATGAACAAACTATATCAGAATATCTACTTTTACAATCGTTTGCATTAAACACCAGATCATTCATGGTCTTGTCCATTTGATTTAAATTCGATTGTGACTCATTAAATATGCATTAAATATACTTACTCGTAACTCATAAGAAACAGATAAATAGACATTAGAAAGAAGTCAAAAAAAAAACCATTGCACGTATGTTCACAATAGACAAGTTATGATGTTCAGAGAAACCACAAAAAAATTCCCATTGTTAAGGATGGGAAGATGCTCACATTATAGAGAGACACTTGCAACAAAAATCTCTCTGTCAGATTTGAGATCATTCATTATCAAGATGCGTCTACTGGTAGAGGTTTTGCTGTAACTATTATTTTTTTAATTTCTTTTGTAGATATTGTTGATCTTATTGATTCGTTTTTGTACAAGATATGTTAGTATGAAAATTAAAATTAAAAAAATGGATGAGAATGCAGTATGAATAATATTTGTTAATTTAATGAAAATTTAAACGAAGAATGTTCATAAATAACTAGTTGAAAGTCATGTTGAAAGACTGTTCAATCATATTTATTATCAAAAAAAAAACTACGCAGGAAATTTTAATTGAAATATAAAATTGTCAAAAATAAAACTAGAACAAAGAAAGAGAAGTTACTTTTTTATCGATAAAAATAATTTATGAAAGAATAAGACGATTCATTTGGTGAGAATTAGTTGAAGTATTTTTATTTCCTTGAGATAACATTAACGTATTTAATGATTGATTAATAGAATTAGGTAGATGAATAAGACAGGCACCGACTCTTTTTGTTCCTAATGAAGAACACTAGAAAAAAAAAATGAAAACTTTCTTCGTATCTTATCAAATATTAAATAATAAAATATATTTTTCTACTTTTTTCCATTTATTAGTTTCTGTATCATATTTTTCCATTTCATTCAAAAATTTGCTATCAAAACCACCAACAATATACAATTCATTATTAACAACAGCAATTCCTAAAGCTTCTTTTGGTCGACTAAATGATGTAATCAATGTCCATTGATTACATTTTGGATCATAGCGTTCACCATCATCATGTCGAATAATACTTTTATTTGTTGCTAATAATTCATAACCACCAATAGCATATAAAAATTCATTACAAGAAACAACAGCTACACTAGCACGACATTTTATCATCGATGCACATTGTGACCAACGATTAGTATGTGGATCAAAAAATTCAATTTCTCGAAGACTTGTAGAAACATCTTTACCTCCAACAGCATAAATTCTAACAGAAATAAAAAGAAATATGTACAAATGAAAAGTACATCAAATAAAAGAAAATTTACCGATTTTCAAGAACAGCAACACCTAATGTATATCTTGCATCGGTCATTGATGCAACATAAGTCCATTCAGATGTTTCTGGATCAAAACGTTCTACTGTATCGAGAATAACTCGTCCATCATGACCACCGACAGCATATAAAGGACCGCCAATATGTCCAACACCTAAATCATAACGATTAGTAAGCATTGGTGGTCCAATAGTCCAAACTTTAGTGTGAAAATCATAAATTTCAATACTATTCAATCTAAAAAAACAAAGCCAATCATATTCATGAAAATTTAATAAAAACATCAACAAACGTTTTAAGACCATCTCGACCTCCGCATATATATAATTTCTTATTTAATCTAATACAAGCAAACTGAGAACGTCGACTATTCCAATAACTATCGGTTTGCCAACAATCAGTTCGAAAATCATATCTTTCAATAGTTTGTGAATCTAATTGTCAAAATCAAAATATAAAATTACACTTCTAATTATTCTTACTTTTAGTATTATCAATTCCACCAAAACAATAAAGAGCACCAAGTGTTGACTTTCTTGGTGTAGTTCTTATTGTTTTCATCGTTAAACGTTTTTCTGGTGCTAGATGATAACGCATTGCTTCAATAATCAGCATTTGACATAAACTATTATTTTCAAATCTTTCATTTGTATCAATATAATCTGTCAAATACTATTTCAATGAAACAAAAAAAACACGCAATAAAAAACAAAAACAAATTTTATTGATCATACTTTTCTTTGAATTAAAGGTAATCGAATTAAACTAAATAATTCTGCTAGATGATCATTATATCGATTGAAATCATAATCAAGCCAAGAAATGAATGCTTCATAAACTATTTCTTCAGATTCAACATTGATATCATCTAAAACAACTCATATATCGATAGAAAAGTGAAATTACTATTACCAAGTAAACGACTATTAGGAAACGACGTGATCAATTTTCTCGTCCTTTTTGATTTCTCACTCCTCTTGCGCGATTATAAGTGATACTCTCGGAAATTTCTTTCTGATTATGTGACCTCGAGCAGGCACTTCCCATAATTTTTTTTTTAAATAAATATATGAACGTGTTTGCAAAAAGAATATTTTTCTACATCGGTACATTTCTTGAGTAAGATGGACTGTTACTTTTATGTCTAATAGCTCAAGCAAGTAGATTTTGCAAGTCTCACCTTTCAATCTCTCAAGAAGCTTAGTTTTGTTGTATGTTAAAGTTGAAAAATGAGAGCAGTTTCAGGTACATAAATGACATTTTAAAAATTACTGCAAGGCAGTGTTGACCACTCTTCTGATTTTCTGAAATATAGTTGGTGATATTTTTGGCACTCTCTAATCAATCACGTGATTCTGAGAAGAATATAACTAATAATGAAAAATTTGCAAGCTTAATATTTTCATTAAAGAAACCCTATTTTGTGAAAATACAGACCACTTATTGAGTAACTCATAACAGAGTTGTTATCTGTATTTTGGTAACAGATAACTTTTTTACTGTCCGTTACTTTGTAACTATTAATGTAGCGATAATGTGTATTCACTGTGCTGAGATCGTCATCAACATAATTTACTTACCAGATGCTAGAAGTCTTTTCATTTCATCAAAAGGTAATTCAAGAAATTCACTATTATTTTGAACAATTATCGAGAAATGGTCCTGAAAGAAAAAAGAACTGATACATTGAAAAGAAAGAAAAAATACAAAACATACAAGAATATAATTCCAAATAGTTTGTGTTAAATCCTGTAAATTATGTTTTAAAGCAAATCTATATAGACCAAGACAATTTGATGATTGAATTTGTTTTTTAATGAAATTACAACATGCTTCAATTATTTCAGTAATATGAAAAGTATGTGCAAGATTAAGAATTTTAGTTACATCAGTTGAATGAATTTCAAGATGACCTAAGAAATATTTATTTTAAAATCTAAATAAATTATATTATTAAATAAATTTACCTTCATATGCATAAAGTATAATTTTTTCAAAAATATCTGGATCAATATCATTTAAAATAATCTCAGTTTGTTTATGATTTTCAAATAAACTACGAAAATAATCAGATAATATCGAAACAATAAGACGATGAGCAATTATTCGTCGTTTTATTTTTCCATTATCACAGATAAAAACAATATCACAAAGAAATCCTTGTCGAAGATAAGATAAAAACTTTGAAATTATATATGATGGATGATTAGGTTTGGTAAAATGTTCTACATTACTATTCGAATCGATTGGCGTTGTTGCTGTACTGAGATTAAATGACATTTTCTTTTTGTAATTATATGTATATAAACTCTATCAGGTACATATGTAGTCTGATATAATCTTTTTATTTTATTGATGTCATGTCTTTTTTCTATTATCTAAATCTATAAAAGAAACTATTAAGTAGAAATATGCTAGAATACTTGATGATTGTCATAAGAACACTGTCTTTTTGTGTTTTTCTAGGCAAAGTTTTTTTTTATTAAAAATAAACGCAAAATGAACATATGGATAAGAAAAAACATATAATACTGGTTAATTATCACCCATAATAAAAAAAAAAAGATAAACTTGATTAAATTGTTTCGTCTTTTTAATAACAAACTAATAATAATAATAATAATCCTGTAGAACCAATTATTCTTATATTTAGTGTTCGTTTTGAAGAAAAAAAGCTAAAACATGTTGGCAGCTTTGTTTACGTGATTGACATAATATAATATTTTCTTTCATTGCTAAATCTTCAAGATATTTTCTTGAACGGTCAATATCTTTTCGTTCATGTTTGGTTAAGATTTTATCTGAGTTTTCATTGATTGTTGATTGTAAATATACAATAATATGATATTTACGTTCACCAATAAGATATGCAAGTTCACCAACAAGATTTGAAAGACGTTCATTATCATTTATTAAATAATATAATAAGCGTGAACGTTTACGTACATGCATATCATAAACAATATCAAGTTGATCATTATCATAACAAGTTTGTCGTTTTATATATTTTACATTTATTTCGTCGAGAATTGGTAATACATATGTATCTAACCAATATTCATCATAATCACCGGAAGCTATATAAAGATCGAACATATAAGTCAAAGAATTGAAATGAACAGTTTCTTTATTTGATGTTACTATATTTTTCATATAAGAAAAAATCGTATTCTTTATAGAACGATAAGAAGCTGCACAAATAAAATAAATTGATTGTGTTATTGATAAACTGGATGTTGGAGGAAAATGTACAAATAAAATATATGTCGAAAAAATTGATATCATAATATTTAATATAGAAATGGGCCGATAAAATCTAAATGGAATAGTTTTATTATAATTACTTAATTTATTGTTTTATTGATTTTCTCACGTTAATGGATTGTTGTCAAATTGATGATCAATAGGACATTCGTAAAAATCAGCAGTTGCACATGATGATGTTGATCGAGAGAATGTGTAATCACTGGCTATTAATGAACCATAACCATCATCTTCACTTTCATTTGTTGAGCATGATATTTGTGATTTTGTACTGAATTGTAGTTGATAATAACGAAAACCATTAGTAGACTTAGTTGAACGAAGAAATGGAGTTAAAGATGATAAAGGACGAATTGTATGTGTTATTGATGTAGCACTATGACGTCGATTAACCGGGACTGAAGACGATAAAGTCAATTCTGATCGAGACTGTTCACGATAAAAATCATCAGGAGACTCAAAACTGGTTCTATTCGAATGTGAACGAGCAACTAGAACAGATAATCAATAACAATCACTAATTTCAACGATAAGAAAACGTTCATAGATGTTGCAGACTAATCGAGCTCCTATTTTATTTATATATAGAACTCGGTGAGACTAGTGCTAAACCTAAAAGATTCACGTTTATACCTTGTTCTTCAAGAGTTACAAGTGTTTTATCATACTTTCGATTTCAGACAAGCCTGGCAGTAAGCTATCAAATGACATAGCAAGCATGGATGTGGATTTATGCTTGAATGGGATTCATAACTCCACACCCTTACTAATACATAATATCGACATTAGTAACTCTAGAGGAACAAGGCCTAGACGTGAATCTTTTAGAGTTTGCAGTACTGTCGAGAAATTTATAGTGAAAGAAAAACAGCTTTTCTTAAAAATGCATCAACACAGACGAATCAGCTAAACTGAGACAAAAAATAAAAGACGCAAGATACTATTATAAAACTGGAAATTATTATAAAGAGATGCATGTCCTTCTGATATACGTAAGATGTAAGCTAGCACTTGCTTTGTAAAATAAAAACTGTTGCGTTCATGATGACTAGTCATGTGCAGTGTTAATATAAACATTAAATAGTGAGTCAGCGACATAGGATTCACTGGAGTGTTAAGTACACTGACACTCGAGTTCACTGCAACCTTAACACAACAACTCTATTAAAATATTCCAGTGTTTTACTGAACACCGATGTCAGTATCTAGTAATTACACCCAGTTAATGACCAGTAAACAAAAATGGCATATTCTTAGACTCACAAACTTTCATGAAATCATCTTAAAATTAATTCTGATGGAAAAATTCGATCAAGAAAAAAAGCATTCTAAATATAGTGTATGGGTTCATCATTCAATGATGTATTCAAAATTACTATTCCATGTAGAAAACAGTATTCGAAAATTCATTATGAAGTACTAAAGTGTGCCTGATATAGCGAGATATTTCTATCTCTAAAAACTAATAATATCTTAGAAAGTATTAGGCGTTCAGTTTTTGTTTCACATAATGTAATTATAAAACCCGAAGTGCTCCTTATAATTTCTAAACTGATATTTTGTTTAAAACTTGTTGTCAGTTAAATACTCTGATCAAAATATTTTTGCTCTATTGTTATAAATTTCTCGACTAAAAGTCTCACAGTTAATAATATGAGATTTAATGGTAAACTATTCCTCCAACTAGAAGACCTTCCAGGGCTTCTATCATATCTAGACAATGTCAAATGTTTGAGAAGAACTTCGCAGATGCTATTAAATTAACTTTGACCAAACGCCGCCTGTATAGACATAATATATCTTCAGACATTGAATACTCATGGTTAAGAATAATCTCTAAAAATTATTTTCATTTTTTCGACGACATCTGAGATCATGGTCACTGTATACTTTGTAATAACCACTTTGTTTGAAAACAGGTATTTGCGGTGTCAACCACATTCAAGTCGTATTGGTAGTTCTTCGATACTAGAAGCCCCAGAGATTTTTTATTGCAATGAGAAGTTTAGATAAACTTTAACGAATTTTATTTTTATCAATAAATCAATAGCTTACTTTTTTGATGATTTTTGTTCTTTTTTTCTTCGTCTAAAGTCTTACATATAGTAATAGTTTGTTTTCTATTTTTAATTAAAAGTTCTGCACATTCTAATCCTACTTTAACATTATCAAAAACAGGTACATTTTTAATTCGAAGTAATACTCTTAATGTTTCTCTTGCTTGACAAACATTTTCGTAATCATTTTCATTATCTTTTTCATTAAAAGAATTTTTTTGTTGAATAAATTTCGTTTGATATTTATCTTTTGGCATTGGATTCATAATAACAATAACAGTTCGGTCACGTGCTATTAAATAACATACTTCAGCTATAGATCCTAATGATCGTGTGTCATGATCAATAACAAAAAATAAAATTTCTGCCGATTCTTTTGCATTATGTTCAATTTCAACTAAATCTGGTGTCCAATTAGCAACTTGAGGATTATAATAAGAAATTGAACGTAATTGAAAATAAGGAATAGCTTGTTCATATCTCCATGTTGTTGGATTACATGAACCACCAAGAAATACTTCATGTTGATTTTGTTGTTGTTTGAATAATTGTCGAATTGATGAACGTGTTATTAGATCAATACCATAAACACGTTGAAGGAACAATAACTGAAGAAATTCAAAAGCACGTTTAAATTTTAAATTTTTACATGATGATTTTTTTGATAAATCATCAAACGATAATAGACGATGAAATAAATAGCATTGATTTAATGAAAGCATCGAATTTAAATTAAAAGAAAAAACTTTTCTTTTTTCTACATATTGATAATTTTCATTTTTTCATTGAATAAACATCTAAAAATAAAAACAAGCAACAAACATGCAATTCTTTTTCTTCTGTGTCTTAGAAACAAGACAATCATTTTTTTTCTGAGTGTAATCTAATAGAATGTAAATAGACTCATGTGAAAAAATAAAGGGCTTGAGAAAAAGTATCATAAAGATTAACAGTACTATTAAAAAAGAACTGTGTAGAACGAAATATTTTACCTTTATTACTCATGAATAATATTTTACGATAAATATGACTCTTTTTCCCACCTAAACGTCATTGTGTATAACGATAATTTATTTAAAAAAACGACGTATATGCATCATTGCCAAGCATAAAGCTATTTTATCTTTTTTATACTTTATTATCGATTGAATTGGAATAATTAGTGTGAAAATTTTGTTTCCGATTTTTAGTTTCAATTGGAAGATACCAACGACAAATAGCTCCCTGTAAAAATGACGCATGTTCATGCAAAATTACCAAGATACAGATGGCGCTTAATAGTCGTACAAAATTATATGCTTCTAGGTCAATATGACGCCACAAACGGTAGTATGGGTAAAAAAAACATCAAAATATTGGAAGACAAATAAATATGCTTTCATTTTTTTGTTTAGTGTTTTTTTCTTTTTTATGAAATTATTTCCTAACAGAAAATAAGTTTTAATTTCAAGTTAGATGAACGTGAGTTCGATTTTACCAGGAAAACGCTAAGTACGTAAGATAGGTCAAAAGCAAAACAAGAACAGAGAACAAGAGAAAAGAGAAGAAAAAATCTCGTTTCCAAGGTAAGTTAGGTATAGTTTGATGATTGTGATTTCAGTTTATTCAATAACACTAGTCACGAAATACAGAAGGTGAAGAACAACGTAACAAGAATTGATAGCAGAATTAGAAAAGACTGAAGAAGAAGCTTACAGAATATCAACGAAGACCACATAGAAATGAAGGTGTGTGCATGTGTATATAGGATACAATGACAGAAAAAAAAAATCACTGACATATATGACATAAAAGGAAAAATCCATATATATATATATTATACATACATGCACAAGAGAATAGTACAACGTCAAATATAATTCATAGAAAAAAATACATATGTGATGTATTCACACACATTGAACAAATTCTGAACATGAACTATTGTATAACTTTTTGGAAAGTAATGCTGATAAGTACGATCTTATAATTTATAATTTTACCGTTAATCCTTTTTTTTCTTCTCGATATTAATATTCTTTTTTTCTCTTGCTTATATGACCCATAGATTATTCTTGTCTGTTCCAATATAACAATATTTAATATTCATACTTTTGATAATGATAATGCTACTCGTTTTGTTTATAAGTGTTATTCAAAAAATGAAAGTTAAGCTTTCAATATTGTGCCAATTTAGTAGTTTTTCAAATTATTCGAAAAAAAAAGAAACAAACATTTTGTTTTTATTCTATACATACTTTTCTTTCATTAGTTCTGATTACTAATTTATTGAGTTATAATGACATTAGAGGAAAACAATAGTATACTACAATACAACACAGAAGAAAAAGAAATCAAATAATCAACATATTAGACTAATGGAAAAGTACAGAAAAACAAAATTAGTAAATGATGTATTCCTCTATATCATATTTGATGTTATTCAATTTTCACCGGTCAAATTCTGGTTCTTTGATTACTTGAATACGACAACTTGTTCTTGCTTCTCCAAAACGATTTTTAACAAGACAATCAATTGTACCAGCATCAGTTCTCAAACACTAAAACAAAAGCATAATTAAATATTTCAAATTTTTTATTTCTAATCTGAATACATACACAAGAAAGAGTAAATATAGATTTTTCATTATTATAATCACCTTTTGATTCTGCCATCGGTGAAATCAACTAAAATATATTTTCAAATTGTTTGATAAGAATTATTCAACAAAAAAAAAAAAAGAAAGTATCGTTACTTTTCCATTATGAAACCAGTTGACCGTTACTTGTAAACCAGTAATGCCACACGATATTTTTAATGGTTTTCCTTCAATAATAGTTATATCATTAAGTGGCTGTGTAATATATGGTGTAGCGTCAGCTGCTGAAGCTTAAAAAGAACTATAATAATTAATAATCAATGTTTTTTTTGAGTGTCCTTACGAACAACATATAATTGAGCAATGGCTTCTTCTCGACCAAATCTATTCATAATTGTACACTTTATTTGACCATGATCTTGAAGACTAATTGGTCCAATATCCAAATAATAAATATCATCTAATTTATATGTTTGATATCGTGATGATGTTGTATCACTGGTAAGTAATATTTCAGGTATACGAGAACCATTATGTGACCAGATAAGAGTCGGAAATGGATCACCACCAAAACAACATTTAAATTTCGCTGAAAAAAAGAAATTTAATATTTTTTTTTTTTTTTAATAAATTTAGTTTTCTATAAATTTACCTATTTCATTAGGTAATACAAGTGCTGTTTGTGGTTTAATTAAAAAATATGGTCGAACAAGTTTATTTTCATCGACAAAATCGACTGATTGATTTATATTTGTTTGTTTTTTTATTATTTCCGTAGGTGAATGATAATCAGCAGTAATAATTGATCCATTAACCAATGTATTTCGTTTTCGTATATGAACTAAAATTAATAAACATAATGATATTATATGAATTTTTGATATTTGTTTTTCTTGTTTCATTTGTATCAAAAAATAAAAGATGCAAACTGAGAAAGCACACAAACATGCATTTCAAACAGGGAGTAAATCTAATTAGTGAAGAGCGCATACTTAAACCATTATCAAGTGAAGATTTAAAATGCTGTAATCGTTTGATAATTCGATCAACAAATGTTTTTATAACTGCTAAATAATAAATAAAAGGCAAAAAGAAAAAAATAGTTGTATTATTTTTAATTATTTTCTTATTTGATCTTAATTATAAGTTTTAATTAAAATGTTCAGTACACATTCAGTTAATTACCTTTTTTATCATTATTATTATTAGTAGTAGTTGTCTTTGTATTATTCAATGCGTCTTCATCAATAAATAACGTTGTCTTTAAATCATTGACGCACACAGAAACATGATGATTTGAGTCCTGTGATGATGTTTGATTGTTTATCTGATCATTAATAACGTTATTAAATGGCGATGAAGTGATCAGATTATTCGAATCAGACATTGTTTCATGATTGTTTGTGTCTGCCATTGATGAATGAATGGGAATGAATCTGTCAGGTTGATGTTGAACATGTATACGATTAGATGAAAGACGTTGCCAAATAGTCGAAGGAACATTTGATGAATTAACATACTAAATACACTAAATGATATTCATATTTCGTTGAAATTATATTTCTTACTGATGATGAATCTTGTTGATAATTAGTAGAATTTATTATTTTTTGACGTCTATCAGTGATATCTGTATCACTTGATGAATCTCGAGTACTTACTGTTGAACTAAATTGTCTTGAACGTATTTTTTCATTTATAATAGGAATTGTTCCATTGATTGGCACTCGATAACGTGAAGTATCATTATTATATTGTTTTTGTTGATTTTGTTGATTAATAGATGTCATAGATTCAGAATCTGTAATTGGATCAAGAGTAGTTCTATATGAAAGAATATAATTTGAATTTCTATCATTTGTATATTGTTGTTGATCTTTTTCTATAATTGATTTTAACATTGAATGATATGCATTATCAGTTGTATGACGTTTTCTTCTATCACGAAATTTTTCACGATATGCAACGGATCGATTTTTTAATCCTGTTGAAATTTTTTCATTCGATGGTAATCGACGTTCATCAATAGTTGATGCATAACGACGTTGAATTTGTCGATTTGGTTCATAATATTGTTCACGATAGAGTAAATCAATATCATCTAATTCTTCAACTGGTAAACGTTCAACAATAATTAAATCACGTTGATTCAATACAGGTAAACTATAATTTTCAGTTCGCTGATATCGTTGAAGAATAGGCTGTTGTTGTTGTTGTTGTTGTTGTTGTTCTTGATGACGAAAAGAAGAAGAAGAAGAACGAAAATGTACGTGTACTGTATCAGGAAATATAAAATCAGATATTCGATTAAAACTTTTCGATACTGGTCGAGACATTGGTGGTGGATACTTCGATGATCTTAGTCGTCTATTTGAAGTAAACCATTCAACTGGTATATGTTCATAACTATACATTATTTTATATGCTTTTATTATATCTAAAGTTAGACGATAGACATATAATTACATAGTAGTCAGACAACCTTCGATGACACTATTCAACACTCATATTGTATATGTGTATATTACACGTATAGGATATGGATAGTTCCTCATATAAAGCATTATACTTAAATGGCATCAGAAGAATGAGTGTATTCGAGTGAGTGATAGACTATAGAACAGAAAGAAAAAAATAAGCAGCATATACTCGTAGACATTAGGTCTGAATAGATTGATTGTAGTAAATATTGACAGCATGCACAACGACTGACTAAAGTAGATCGAGTTTCATTTGATTGTCGTTGTATTGGAAGCAATAGAGAATACTTGCGCAATAATATATATATATATATATCAGATTTAATTAGACCAATGACAGTCAGTCATTTGGTTCTATGCTATAGTATATATTCTACGTTTACTAGTAAGAACTAGCAATTCAACACTTGTTGCACTGATGCTTGCATATAAACACATCCAAATGAAGAATACGTACAACATCCATTTTCTATGTAGACATGACGAAAGATAAGACACATTTTTATTATAATAGACAAGACCAGATGATAATTACAGAAGTTCCTGTGAGGAAACGTGAATAGAAAGCAAAAATAAGAAGCTACATCTTATTGTGCTTCGCGGTTGTTTTATGGAAGCACATCCGTATATATGTATGCATCCATAGAAAAGGAGAAAAAAATAACATAGCTATAAATCAAGGTTAATAGCTATTTAGAAACTTAGAAACAAATGTTGTATAAAATGACATGATGACAACATCAGACATCAAATGACTGCTGTTAACTTTGTTGTCACTCGTATTCTTGTTTTGTTGAAAGTTTAGAGAAAAACAAAATACTACAACAATAATTCAATATGTCACAAATAGAATAATGTTTAGAACTATTATATTATCTTGAAATGAAAGATTATAAGTCGAATACTTCGTTCGATACATATATATATATCTATTCATATCATAAAATAGTATGATAAGAATTAAATATTTCGACAATGGTGACTGTCATCAGAATCGATTATTATCTTCTTACACATCTATACTATCCTACTGGCTATTAACAATACTCATTCAGCATAGGGAAAAAATAACATGCATGTCGTGCATTTATATATAGTTCTTTCTCTCTTTTACCGTATATATATATATATATTGATCGATGTCGAGATACTTTCACTGACAGGTGGAAATAACAAAAAAAAACTGATGGATACACGTTATAACAATGAATGATGAAAGCAAACTTTCTCTTCTTTCTCTATATAGAAAAAAAATTTGATCTGCATCCACTACACATTTAAGATATGATATTTGATCTTGCTATTGTTTGTCATACTATATGCACTCACTCAAATATTGTATGTACGCATAAAATATAACGAATATATTAATGAAAGACTCTAGTGGACTATACAGGTTTTCCTCTCTCTCTCTCTCTTTCTCGCTTGTCATTTCCTTGTCAAAATGACATCGTAAGAATTTAGAACAGTACGCAAAAAGAAAATGGAAGAAAAACAACAAAGATATGTTTTCTCTTTTTTTTGCACACATTTGTGTATGTAAGTAAGGACTGCTATAGTGACGAGCATTGGCTGAGAAACAGAATAAGCCGGAATGTTTTTTTCTACACACTCGTACACAAAAACTGATAGAAACGACGAACGACCTTCGTATACAATAAATTTAATAACAAAAGCATGCGGATGCGCGTGTTACACTTAGTAGAAAGAAAAAAAAACGCAATAGAAGGCAAGGAAATGACTTCTTATCTTAAAAAGACAATAACAAAACCACATTTCTATCATTGAGAGAATAATTCAAAATAAAAATAACACATCTTTAACTAGTCTTAGTTTTGACCTTCATTTGCTTGCTGTTTGTCATCTGTCAATAAGAAGAATACAAATTGTTACATGCCAATATTATAACTATTAGTAGTTCGGTTCTATTTGTCTTTTTAAAATACGTTTTTTGCATATATAAGTATACTATAGACAATTTTATTTGCATACTGTCAATGTAGATTGCATGAAAAGTAACATGGATTTGAATAAGGTCGATCAATGAAAATGAAACAACTAAATGTATAGACCTTGATTCATTTCGTGATACATTATATAAATCAATATACATTTATATGATTTTTTTATGGCACATTTAAGCTATGTTTTGATTCATAATTGTCAATAAAAAAAAAAAAGAAAGTATCCTAATAAAATTTCTAAATCAACATTACAAAAAACTAATAAAGGTCTGATAAATTTTATGCATCAATATAACTATTACTTGAGATATATAATGAACTATGCATTGATTAGTGTTCAAAATATATTCTCTCATTAGAAACTGTATAATATGACCGTATTTGAAAGTCTTCATATAGATTACCGTTTGTATTGATTCAATCGATGATAGTAGGATTCCTCATCTATAGTGTATTATTTCAATACAATTACATTTATCATTCGTATATCCAACTTATTTTTATTTTAGAATTAAAAAATATTGATACATCAAATGCTTGTTATAACTGGACTAACAGTGCAATAGAATGTTAACAGAACGAAATTAAAAAAAAAACTTTCTTCATTAAGAAGTGAATCTTGAATCTTATGTTTATCGAATAGATGTACTATCAGTATACCGAAGGATGTTGGAAAACTTTTTTCGAATAACTTTACTATTGATTGAACTTAATCCATTAGTGTTTTTTGCATCAAAAATGAATGCATCGAGTTTTTATTGCTACAAACAAATTTTTCAAATTAGTATTCGAAGGTGTCATCATTGACCCAAAATGCAAAAAAAAAATAGCTTTTTTTTTTCATTTCTAGAAAAATTTAGGAACAGTTTCTGTTTAAATTGTTTGAATTATGACCTGATACCATTCGATTTCTTTTTTTTTTTATAGTAAGACATATTAAAATACATTTCTATAAAACAACACAATTTAAAGATCAAAATAATTCAATAAACTGAAGTCATTAAAAAAAGAAATACTGTGCAATGTGCTTCATGAATAGAAAAAAAACCCTTCATTTTCTTTTTACAGTTTACTTAATAGTATCAGCTTTGTATATTCTATAAAAACTCAACGTATCCATTTATGATGCAAAAAAAAGAATAATTAGTTAATCAAGTCCAATGAACAGTGAAATTGTGTGTAAAAAAAAAAAAACTTTAAAAAATAGAGATCTGATAGAAAAGATATTATAACTGAAGTACAATACTTTGGATATAACAAAACTATAAATCATGAAAAATTTATTAGGAAATGGTCATTGATTCTTTATAATACAATTAATGACTGTTTATTCATCGCAGATTCGATTAGTAACTGCAAACAAATCATATTGATTATTGAAAAGAATTCAAATATAATGGAAAAAGAATATCCATGTATATTTTATGAATATTCTTAATATCGTATGATTAATAGAATAAAAAAAAGTCATTAAAAAAAAAAAACCTTGATCATAAATTAATAAAATACCAGGTGTAGAATCATGATTGCAACATTTAGTATTTTACAAATATCTCAACACAAGTAAAAATTCTACCAAGTTAGTTTGATGATTTTTTTTTTTCTAAGGATGAAAGTGAAACATCGTGTAACGATGAAATGTCTTATTATTTTGAGAGAAATAAAAATGAGACTAACATTGATTATTTTTGCATAGTATATCGTGATGAATTGTTACTATTTTAGCAGGCCGAGAATAACGGATTATTTTATCATCAAGGCTGATGTCTGTAACGAGATAAACTGATATCGCATATTAATGAAAGATCTCAATGATAGTGCAAAAAAGAATTTCAAGTCGTCTGTACCTAAACATTATTGGTCTTCTTACTCACTAGACTTGAATGAATTATATTATTCTGTTTGGAATAGTGTTAATAAACACATTGATTATCACAAGGTTAAAGCACAAGAAAGTTTTCAAAAAAAAAAGACTACGTCAGTTATGTTTGCAATGCGATCGACTGTTTGCTTCAAAGAGTTGGTGCAGCTGAACAACATCATAGCGATTATATTTTTCATGAACATTCATGATTTTTCTGTTATCTTATTTTAATGGTTATTGGAAAGCAAATAATTAATTTAATGAAAAGTTTTGTTTGAAATTAGATGAAGGCTATTTTTGACTCTTATTTTTACTCTTCTCAAAATAATGAATGCATATCCCAAACAAAAAACCAAGATTAAAGAATTTATCTATGCTGAGATATTGGCAAAATACTGAATGTTACATTGATTAACCTTCATATGTCATATCTTCTCGATGAAAGATTGAATTTAAAATATGAAAGAAAACCGTATTATTCAGTAACTGAAATTTTCTTAATATTTCTTTGTTTAATTATGATAAAAGCAAACTCAAATAGAAAACCAACGAAATTTCCGCAAAACAGAAAAGAAAAAAAAAAATAATCGTTCGTAAAATGATATATTTTTATTGAATAAATGAAGGAGTCGAATTAGTTCGATAATAAAACGAAGGACTTTCATTAGATAATCTATCTGTATTAGATAATGATGGTAATCGAATTGGTAAAGATGTCATTGTTCGTTGTAAATTACATGTTTCCATACAATTTCTCGGTTGTTCAATAGCTATATCTTCTGATGAATCATTATGTTCATATTCAATTTTAAAATTTTGATGTGTATTTTCATTATCATTAGTTGTATTATCAATGGATGGTAGTGAAGAAGATAATATCCGATGAAACGTATTTATATGTTGATGATTATGATCGAATGTATTTAATTGATTTGTTGCTATTGAAGAATGAATATCATATTGATTATTAAATGATTGATTTAATGAGGATGAAGCAGTTTTATGAGTACTATTATGATGATCAGATTGAAGTACACTATTTTCTTTCATAGAATAAGATGAACCATTTTGATTACATTTTTGAGATGATGTATTTATTGATTGAGAATCTGAAGAAAATTCCTAGAAGATTTATTAAAGAATTTCTTTTTTTATATATGATTAATTACTTTTTTAGATACATCTTCAGATTCAGTTAATAATGTATCATTATTATCATCTTCAATTTGCACTATTGCATTAGTACATCGTATATGATCACCAAAATGTGATTCAACTTTAAAATTATCATTAATATTAAATGTAGGTAATTTAACTTGAAACGAAAAATTTCCTATTTCATCAATATGTTTAGTTAATTTTTCAACACGTTTTTTTATTATATCGATTGATTTTATTGAATTTGTTGTTGATATTGTTGATGATGGTGATAAAAGTAATGAACCAATATTTCCTTTTTTCATTCGTATTAATTCATTTTTATCAGAATTTATATTTGACATTTCTTTTTCAATAAATAATTCATATTCTTTATTTAATATTTCATATTCATCATAAATTGTTTGCATTAAAAGTTTATGTGCTTCATTTATTGTATTAATCGTATCAATACGCCATTTATGACATTGTTCAATTGTTTCATCTTTTTGTTTTTCAAGATCAGCTTTTTTATGAATTATTTTCGTTAGAAGACAATGACTTAATTCATGTAAATGTTCAAATTCAGTAGTGACTTTTTTATAATGTTTATTACAACATCGAATACATAAACGTTGATTACAATGACAACATTGAAATAGGCCTTCATTTTTTTTACAATGATCACACTTTACTGATATTGCCATTAAATCAATAGATGATTGATGATGATGAGATGAAGATAATTGAGGATCACTGGTTTGTTTACTAAATTGTTTTGTTATTGATGAAGACTGTGTAGAAGATAAGAAGATTTTACCAGTAAAACATTTAGTGTCATGTAAGTGTTGTTGACGCTAAATAAACAAATAAATTAATGAATTTATCGTTAATCTATTGTTGTCTTATAAATAATACATAACTAATTTCTTTTTTTTTTTTACAAAAATATGGCATTCATAACATGTCTATAGTAGCAAAGTTTTACCTTGAAATAAGAAAAAGAATGTTTCTAATTTTAAGAATGTATTGATATGCATATTTATGTAAATTCTTTATGAAAATAGACCTTTATATAATTATTTATCAATCCAAAAAGAACTCTTTAGATATTTAAATGAATGATTAATATTAAAAAAATATCATATTTGAATATAAACTAGCTCAAATAGATATATATAATGTTATGAGTTACAAATTTCAATAAATAAATAGATAACATACAAGTTTTCTTATGGATGGTGAATATTTTCCTCCATCATTGGATAGTAGTGATGCATCGAATTTATTTAAACCAGGTCTTAACATGATTCGATCAAAATACTTAGTTTTTTCAGTCATTGATATGCACGCGTCTAACCTTAACTGATATAACGTTACAAATCTAAAGACATCAACTAATCAAAAGAACGAGAGAGAGAGAGATAGAGAAAGAGATACGTCTGTAGGATGTGTTAATGGGAGAAAATAATCAGCATAAGAGCACGTATAAATATGTGGGTGAAGTAAAAACAACAACATATACAATCTTTAACGTTATCATGCAATATCTATATACATTTGACCTAAAGAAAGATTGAATTGTCTATATAATCCATTTTATATTTATAATTACTTATAAAAATGAATATATATATATATTCTTAGATAATATAGTGACAAAAAAAAAAAATCAATGAAAGATTTTTTTTTAAAAATTTTTATGTACAATGGTATATTTCATATTGCGATAATATATCTATTTGTGCGTATAAATGCTACTTTGAGAGGATAAGTATCTGTCTTTTGCTTGTCAGATATATGTAAGAAACTATTTTGACTAAAGAGAACAAATGAGCTGTAAAAAAATATTTGTCTTATGTTCATAAGTACCATAATGACCTAAAGAACGGTTGGTGAAAATTTAATAATGAAAAAATATTTAGTTTGTTCTTTATATGAAGAAATATTGTAAAATATTCCTGTGATAATGATTATAATTTTCAAGTATAATCTATTTATGTCATCAGAAATAACAGTTGTTTTTCTCGTCATCGAAACCTTTTCCTTCCTAGACTACTATTAGCCATAAAGACATGTACACTTTATTGAGTGTAGTATTCTTTTTTTTTTCGCTAATTATGTGATATAACAACATGAAATTTTGTTAGTTCAATTTTTTTCTTTCATACATATTGATATTCAAAATTTAGAAAAAATATTGAGCAAGCAAAGTTTGAATAGTTTATGTTGCATACTCTTTTATGTTTTTTTTTCTCACTGTAATTATTCTGATGATTCTTTCTAATAATAATAATAAGAAAATATTTTATCTTAATAAAACAACATAGTTTCATAAACAAAAATTAGTGACACAATACATTTTAGTTATGTTAAATAACCATCTGGATATGCACATATGTAACAAAAAAAAAAGATGATGATTAGAAATGAAACACACAAAAACATATTTAATGAAAGATATGAGCAGTCAACAAGTTTATTGAACTGTTCGAAAGAAAATCAGATAAAAAAAAAATGAAACTTGTTCAAATTCAAAAATGAAGTCGATCATTCCATAATTGTTATTAAGCAACTCGCAAAAATAGAGTTTTTCTACATTTAATGAAGAAGAGATGACGATTAGAAAAAGTTTGAAAAGATTTATTGTCTTGCAGTATGTGTCTAATAAAAATTTTAATTTTTTTTTTTCTCAAAATATACGCTATCATATATCAGTTGATAGATTCAATGAAGCATTAGTTTACGAGACTTTTCGAAAGCTTCAAAAACTGCATATCCATAAAAACAATCCTACTATTCATCGAGAAAAAATTGATGTTTTGGCAACTGTCATTCACTGTTATTTACATTTTATCTTATCGAGCACGTTTAACCTTGATTCTAAGAAGATATTGCTAAGTAACATACCCTTTCAGTAGCAGACAACAGATTTATCTGGAAACGACTCAGTAACATAAGTCATGTAAATAAGAAATAATTGGAATCGATCAAAAGTGCTAGTAATATTAATTAAAAATAGAAAAAAAATTTATTAAATGTTTGACAGAGTTACTACTATTATTAATAGAAAGTCCATTGCTTTCGAATAATTAGTTAGACGTTTTTCTTTTAATTCTTTTTTTTTTTGAAATATTTTTAATGAGTTATCTTGAAAATAGCATAACCAAGTCATGTGTTATTTATTGTGACATTATATTGATGTCTTCCTCTGTTAATTAATTAATAGCGTTGGATGAATATGAATTCAAAGATAATTGTCAAGTAGTTTTGTACTTTTGGTACTTGATGTCTCTGTTTGTTTTCATATTTTATTCAAAAAAGACTTCAGACATTTTTTGATATGTTAGTTGTAATCACTAATCTTGCTTGTATTAGCATTCAATAAAACAAAAAGAGTGATTTGATTTAGAGAATATATGAAATAGAGTTTTCTGTTCAAGATTATTCTGGCAAATAATAGTTGTTAGCAAGCTTTTTTCATTATTCCAGTTTAATATTAGTCAATTTATGACTTACTTATCTTGATTAAATGCATGTCTATTGATCTGTAAACATGTTAAATAAACACCATGACCTCTCACGAAATATCGCTATATTTCCACTAGAAACTCTAACTAATACCTGTTCGTATTAATTTATTACTGAGTTGATGAACAATTCAACGTGATATCATTTTTCTCATATTTAAATAATCATAGATAATTCGCTCTTTTGTGCTATAAGAGAGAGAAGTTTTAGTTATGATATTATCCTAAGGTGAATTTCGATCATTGTTAAATTTATTCTTCTTTCATGATGGAATCCGTTCACAAAACGTTGCAAATTTTAATATACCATACATAAAATCCGTAATTTGTTAAAAAAAAATATATATATTGTTATAGATTCTTTTGGTGAGCTTTAACTTCGTATCAAAATATTTGAACAATGACATAAATTATAGTTAGACATGCTTTGTTCAAAGTGTCTGTAACAGTATAATGCCATCAGACTATAGTCCTGAGATGAATTTGAGTGAAAACAAATCCTCTATGTACAAATTCTATATCGTTCTTTCCGAAAATATTGCGAAAATCTTTAGAAAATTTCCACTTTTGAAGCAAAACATCATTTTAAACCTTTCAAGTCTTATAACCACCAAAAAGAATTCTATAAAAGACTAGTTTTTCATTAGGTTTAGAGAGTAATAAGACCAGCATGACGACAAAACTCGTCCAGATCAATAAATAGCAGCTAAAATTATTCTCAATATATATATACATTGAAACATAGCAGTACAATAGATGTACAAGTCATTCATAGATTAATTGGAACAACATTAGTTATAGGACTGATTTGTCGTTGTCAAAAAAAGTACATATGATTAAAATCTAATCTATATTTATTCATAAGGAGATCAGATTAAATGACTAATTAAGCAAAACAGATGACTTAGTTATGAGTTTAAAGCTATCTTAGTATTTAAATAAAACGAATCGAAGCAATGTGGAATTTAAATTCTGGTCAAGTATACAATATTTGTTATAAAAAAAAACTGAAGAAAATAATCTGTGAATTATTGTCAATAGATTTATTCAATGACAAAAAATAATGTGATAGTTATATCTACAATTTTTCTTAGTGTGTTAACAATATTTTATATTTAGTTCAGAACAAATGGGCTATGGTATTTTACAGATTCTCTATTGCTTGTGAAAACAATTAATGTCGTTATACACAGATCAAAATTATATTTTTAGTTTTTTTTTGTCAAATTGGTTCGAGGTATATTGCTGACGAAAACAGTTTTCACTTTAAATCGTTCTATTGATATGCTTGTACTTTATTTCTCAAGAATTTTATCTCAAATGAAACGTATGCAGGCAAGATGAGATAATATTGTCATGTTTATAGCAGGCTATATAAAATAATTCAAAGCATATTCATAAACGTTGAATTTCTATTATTATTATTTATTCTTATCTTGACTCTTAACATATATAAAAATATTAGATTATTTAATGGAGTGTATTACAGACTATGGCAAATTTCTTGTACTTCGAAGGAAGTTTTCTAAGTAACCAACCTCTTTTGAGTCAGAATTATATTAATATATATCATGTAGACCTTACTAAGATATCAAGAGTTTGAAAAGAGTTCTGGCTCTTAAGTGATTGGCGCTGAGATAGTGCATTTTTACGATATCTTTTTAAATCGAAGTTTTAATTCCTCTCAGGAGAATTCCTAGGAAAATTTATTTTTGACTTAAAACATTGTATAGACATAGACTTATACGAGAACAGTTTATTGTGAAATTTTCAGATTTTTTCGTTGTTCTTATTCTAAGATACGATAATAATAACAACGTGTCATTTACATAGCTCATATACGTTAGTCGATTTGACATTTGTATATCAAAATAGAAACTAATTAAACAATCCGAAAATTTTACAATAAACTATTCTTGATAAGATCTATCTTTATGCTAAGTGTCAAATGGATATTCGAAAATCAGTCTCCTGGTGTGTCCTTCTGAGAGAAATCCCGACATTGAATAAAAAAATATATCGTAAAAATGCTGTGTCTTTGTACTAATTATCAGAGGATCGCAACTGTATTTAGATTATTCATAGCTCATTAGGATCTACATAATACACATAGTTCCGACACAAAATTGATTAATAAGTTGATGGACTCTCCTCAATGACTGTTTTTGCTTTTACACTGACAAAGCATTTGTCTCGAAGGAAGTACAGATGTCGTCATCATGCTATTTATCTTGTGACATTTATATTTTTATTTTCTTTTTCTTTTCCTTTACATCGAATCAACTTTTACCTTTCTTTTGGTATTTATTTGATAGCATCCACACAGCCTTGTATACTTTGTTATTCTTTCTATTGATGATATAGGGTGACGCAGAAACCAACAAATTGTGATGTAAATTTTTAAATATTTTAGATAAAAAAAAATGTCGACTAAAGGATTAGTTGTTATAACTGGTGCAAGTTCAGGAATAGGTGGAGCAACAGCACAAGCTTTTTCTAAAGCTGGTCATCCTTTATTATTATTAGCTCGACGTCTTGATCGTTTAGAAGCATTAAAATTACCAAATACAATTTGTGAAAAAGTTGATGTTACTCATCGAGATGAAATCAAAGCAGCTATAGCAAAAGCCGAACAAAAATTTGGTCCAGTTGATTGTCTTGTCAATAATGCGGGTGTTATGTTATTAGGTTTAGCTGATACACAAGATCCAAAAGAATGGGAACAAATGGTACAAGTAAATATCATGGGTGTTCTCAATGGCATACATATTGTCTTAGCAGGAATGAAAGAACGTCGTCATGGAACAATAATTAATGTTAGTTCTGTTGCTGGACGTAAAACATATGCTAATCATGCTGTTTATTGTGGTACTAAATCTGGTGTTCATGCTTTTACAGAACAAATTCGAGAAGAAGCAGCATCATATGATGTTCGTTTTATTACAATTGCACCAGGTGTTGTTGATACTGAACTTTTGTCACATACAACATCAAAACAAATCGTTGATGATTATCAAGAATGGAAAAAAACAATGGGTCAACCATTACAAAGTGAAGATGTAGCTAATTCAATTTTATTTGCATATCAACAACCACAACGTGTTTGCATTCGAGAAATTGTTCTCTGTCCAACACGACAAGACAAGTAGTTTTTTTTTCAAACAGAATGACTTTTTTTTGTCTCAACAAATGACGTATTTTTAAAACAAATAAAAATTCATATCAAACACCTACAGTACAATCTTTATAAGTGAACACCTACCTTTTTAAACAAGATTGTGGTAGAACAAAGTGGTTTGTACTGATAATGCATCTTCCATAGACGAACACTAGAGCTTCTCATAGACCACATTTTTTAGCCTAGAGATCAAACTAAACTGGCTGATGTTTCTGATTATTTTTGAATACATTTGATTCTATAATTCTACATTCATTTATCATTCTAAAGAAAAGATAATAACAATTTCTTACATGAATAGTCAATTAAAAATAGTTAGCCTTCAAGTTTCATTCGATTATTAAATGCAATGCTAAACTTTCATTCGCGATTGATGCATGAATCGATATCTTATGATAAAAAAAAACACTTAATCGCTTGGACGATTGAACATGATATGTTTCTCTCCCAAAAGATAAGTACGCTTTATGAAAATCAGGGCTACTTTTTTTATGCTGAACGTTGGACAATTTTATTATTCGACTAATCAGATGATTAAAGTGAGAAAGAAGCGTTGAAGGTTATCTTAATATGGAACAAGAAGAAAATAGCTTTGAAGATATATTTCATGTAGATAATATGAAGTTTATCAAAGATTTATTTTTATTTATTCAGATGAATAGGGGATGTCCGAAAAGTCATTAGAGAAAGAAAAATTTGAACAACTTCACCGCACTTCGATCAAATGAGCTGATCTTTTGTTAGAGTAGATGACAGTGACAAACTTTTATTCATGAATGAACAGTCCATTTACACTCGTAAAAGCAGCAAATTTTTGTATACTACATCACTAAAGAATCTGTATGACTTTGTACTAAAAATTAAATCATTTACTAAGTTTAATCTTTGTCTCATTCTTATTTTCTTCTTTTGAAACACGAAGCAAACAGACTAACATACAATTATATATACATCAGTTATGCTATTTGACAAAATATATAAAAGAATATCTTCTAATATCGATCTATAGCTATAAGTTAGAAACTTTTATGTATTGTTTAGTAGTAAAGAGAACAAAAGTCTGCTAATTTTATGTACATGAATAAGGTGTTCATTCATGAATAAAAGCTTGAAACTATCTTCTACCTCATAAAAAAATCGGCTGATTTAATAAAAATGCAGTGAAGATATTCGAATTTTTCTTTGCTTAAGAACACTCCTTTTTCTCGAGTTTCTGAGGCACAGCTCGACGAAAAGTTATGAAATTTTTAGGGTAGATAGATCTCCATTGGTAGAGTAAAAGTTGTCATAGACTCTGCATTCCCAGATCCTTCCTTCTATAAGATATAGAGAGCACAAATGCTAAAAATGGCCTAAAGTTTTCTCCCTTGCGCAAACAGCCAAAATTCATTACATATGGTTGATTTTTTTGTAGAAGCCAGAACCGAATCGGGGTGCATGTTTTCTTTTTCTTTGAAAAATCTTGTTTCCTTTTTTAGGAGAACACAAATACTGAAAGCCCTATTAAAAAAAACGTGTTTTTCTCCTTGGGACAAGTTTTGTAAGATCTATGAAAAATCATCAGAGCATTATTTCAAGAAAAGAAAAACATATACACCACAATTTGGTTCTAGTTGTCACACAAAAAATTCATCTCAATCAGTCAAAGCGGCTAGGAGAAAACCGGGAAAAACTGTTTTGTTCTGTAAAAAAGTTGATTGTGAAAAAAACTCGAAATAAGTTAAAACGACATTTTGTCGGTATTTTTGCTGGTTTTCATATGTTATGCATAGCTATTGATTAAAGCAGTTGCAAAGCGGCTAGAAACTTGTATTGCTGACTCACATAACACATTTTGATGATGAAATAACTACATTAGTACAGATCATTTACAATACGGCAGAGTCATAGAACGTGATTTTTTGTATAGGAAATATCAAATGAATGGTTTTTGAAGAATCTAAATGAACATAAATATTTTTCGTTCATATGCCATTCGATAGAGAAATCTTGACTGTCGTTTTAGATACATAAAAAATCGAAATCGAAAAAAAATTGATACTTGGGATTCGAAAACTAACAAAACCGTTCTGGTCTAGCTGTGTAAAGACATCTTCATTGATCCACCCTGTAGTTTGTTAAACTAAAAAGGAGTAAAAGGAAAAAAGAAAACAAATACTTCTAATTTTTAAAGGCTTCAATTAACAAATAGATACACAAGATTTACAAATATGTTAAATAAATTTATCAACGTAAAGACATACAAAAAAGCCTATTCAACAAAAGTAATAAAACATAAATTATTTATTCAATAGCAATTTTTTGCTTTGTCCATTAAAATTCATTCTTACACAATACAATATTGACATGTGATGAGCGGGCTCGAAAGACCATAGATTTTGTCTAAATGGCAATGTATCAATATTTTTTTATATATTTATTACTTAGCAAAAATGTTTATGATCTATCTTGTCTTTTTTTTAATCAAGTGTTTCACTAGAAAATATATCCGCGGTATTGTCAATAGGTATGATCTTGATTGTAAAATAACCTGGAGTTATAATACCGGATACTACAATATAATCATTTTCTAAACTTTTTAAATCGACATATAATTCTCTAAATAATACTTGACGATTTTTTCATCTTCAAAATTTTATTTTTAGTGTGATAAAAGTAAATATACAGTGTTTAAAGAAGATTTATCACGTGTTCATCAAATTATGAATTGATAATTATATTAAGTTTACTTAATAATATGAGAAAGGTCTGTATGAAACAAGCAATAAATAATGCTACTATCTGTATTAAATGTCTAGAAAATATATGATCTTCACGAAGTTCTGATAGTATTTAAATGTAGAATTCTTTAAAATTCTTCTAATTGACCATGCTGTTTACATTCAATCAATACGTGTTGTTATTCGATTTCATCATCAATGTAAACATTAATTTTATCATAATTGAATAATAATGATGATGAAGCTTCTTCGCCAGACAAAAACTGTGAGAAATGTTTACGAAAATGCTGAATAAATGATTTAAATCAGTATTAGCAAATTTTGAGTCACAATATTCACAGAATAAACCGTATATTGTGGTACACTATTAATAGACATTGATAAGGGAATCAAATATATACAAATAAACGAATGAAATGTTGATAAAACGATCATAATCCTGAAAAACACGAAAATACATACACTTCTAGTATAAGTATTAGTAGATAAAAGAATAGCAGGATTGGAGATAAATAAAAAAACCTAGAAACAATTTTTTTTATATCCCTAATATTCGAGAATTAAATCATCATTCCATTGCAAATTTGTTATCTTATTTACTTTATATAAATTATGCAGTAAAATGAACGAGATTGATTCTATTTACACTATGACCAAAGGTTGTTGTATTTAGTTTTATAATATGATGTCAGTCCATGATACAAGTTATATACTATGTATGTGATTTAATGATAATTAGATCAGTTAAATTTTCAAAACAATAAGAAGTAACAGATTGAGATTAGCACAATCAATTTTTACGAAATTCGAATTTATTTTCAAAGATTATTTACAAGCTGTGTTAGTTTTTCATTATCCGGAAAATGAAGCTTTTTGAAAATCAAATCGAACTTTCATTAATGGGTAAATAGAGCATTGTCTAAAAATATTAAAATTTGACCAATGAATAAATGAAAGTTTGAAGATTCTCTAACCTTTTCAAAGTTAGCTTTCTACAAAATAGAATTTATTTAAAATTTATAGTGCGCATACAGGCCATACATTCTATTTTATTGAGCACATTGAATAATCACATCCACATTACACAATCTTACTATAAAAAATGAATATAAAAAAAAGTCTCTCGTTAAACTAAAAAAGAAAATTAATTTAAGTCAATATAATGATAAGCTGTATGTTCGTATTTTAGAGTTTGATAAATAGTGTTTCTATTTCTATAATTTTAAATATTGAAGATGATGTGGATATGCTTGTAGTGAATGGAATGTTAGACGTTGTTTTCCGGGTAGATTATTTAATTGAAAATTAGGATTAAACCTGTGATCATATTCGAAATCAGTTGAATCATTGTTAAGTTTAAAGGCATGTGCTGTTCGTGTTCCAGGAAATTGAGCTAAGCCAAATTTGAGAAAATAGTTCAGTACTATGAATCGATTCTCATTGTCTGGATGTAGAACACTATGTGAACCAACGATATTATTGTTTTGAGTACAGAATTTGGCAAAAGTGGTATTTTCGAATGAACCAGGAACACCAATAATCACATTTGCAAGTGATGGATCAGAGCAAAAATCGAATGTACGAAGAATATTTGGTTGTTCTGGTCTTGTAATATCAACTAAAAGAATATATCGCATTTGAAATGTCATCAATAAACGTTGACCATTAGAAAACATGGACAAAAGACCAGCACTCAGTCGCTGTTGATACCCACTGACTTGAGAGAAATCAATAGCTAGAATTGGTTTTTTCATACCTGGACCGATTAAATACATATTATTCACAGTACTACCACTGACATAAGAACGTCCCAATGGATCACCAGGAATAGTTTTAAGTTCCATAAATCCAATTCCCTGTCCAACTCCAGCTGATGTTCCCGGTGTCGTAGGGAATTTGAATTCAAAAGTACGTTCTAATGTTCCATCAGGAAGAAAATGTCGAGCCGTATTTCGAAAGACAATCTGTGATGGATCAGTGCTGAATAATGTATTTGCTTTAATATAGTCTGCTACGAATAATGACCCATTGGGAAGTAGACCATACCCATGTGGATTAAAATCGATGAGTGCTGAACTATTTTTGAGGATTGATTTTGCCATACCAGTTTCAGCATTGATATACACCATATCACCTGGACTGTCACCCTGTTCATTAGACATCATGCTTACAAGAAATGTAGGACCACCGAGTGGTAAAAACTCGTCTGGACACGCACCTGGTACATCAAGTGCATATAGAAATCTTGGACCTTGCTTGCGATTATTGGGAATATCATAGACAAACACTTCTTTATTGCCAGACATGAAACTAAGAAGACCACCGGCAATAAAATAACGACCATCTGCAGAAACAGCTGAATGATGTGGTTCATTTCCTAATTGTCCAATACGGTTGGCAGCATCCGAAACAAGTGAAACTGTTTTCAAAATGTTCCCATAGGTAGAAGACGTCTCATCAAAATCAATTATAGCAACGAAATCAGAGGCATTAGATACAGAACTGTCTTGTCCGGACCAAACATACAATACAGATGGAGAGGATGTTTGTGGTAAACTTCCCTCAGTACCAGAAGACACTATTAGAAGAAATATGCTGAATAATATAGCATAGTGGTGCATGTTTTTTTTCAAAGAATGTATATTGAATTTTAATTTTGTTGACTAATAGACGAACTGATTCTTATAAAATGAACAATTGAAAAGCTTCTCGAGAATGACGATAATGGACTCACCTACAATAAACCGATGATACGACATAATTTATAGGCAAGATCTACCATGAAAATAAAAATAACTGATCCGAGACGAGGATCAGCAAACATCATAAGGGCTGTCTATTATAATAGGACAAATAGACGTATACGCAATAGTCTAAAATAAAAAGAGAAAACAAAAATAAAAATTGACATTTGCTGATTGTAACAAAAAACCGAGGCAAACGCAAAAAAATAATGGGTCTCATGTGACAAAATTATTACATTAAATGTAAAAGTGCAGTCATAAAGAAAATCACGATGAAAAAAATTTGCCTTCAAAATATTGTCTATGAGTAATTTCAAGGTATTGCTTCTCTAGTATGTACTAAGTACATAATCCTAACAAGTGTTTCATTCTTTTTTTTCATTTATTTTTTTGTTAGTTCAGGTGCATATATTTTTTTGACATCGTTATTATGAATCAAAAGTACCGTCTATGAACTTACGATCAAAATACAGAAATATGTAAACAAATAAACGTATATACATGATTTGTTTTTGTTTTAAAATTATATACTTCTATAATGAATATTTCTAATTCGAACAACTCTTAAAAAATTGAAGAGTTTCTTTTTTTCATTGCAATTTGTATGTAACCATATAGATGTGTTTTTACATGTTTTAAGTGCAGAAATATCTACTGATAAGAATGATGTAAAAGTCATTCAATTATATAAAAAATTACCAAACAGGCTAGCAATTATTAGCGAGTAACTGAATTCGTCCTAACTAGAAGCATTGTTTCTAATAAAAATAATCAACTGAAAACAGGCTAAAATTTTGAAAAATCTACTAAATTAATGCAGACGTAAGACAAGAATAGAAAGTGAGAGTATTTGATTTGTACTTTAAAGACTGGCTTGTACTTTGGACAAAAACTTTGTATTTGTGTTTGTGTTTCAAAACAGTACTTGTTACATAAACCTTTCCCTTGAGAAAAGTACTTGCTAGTTATACTTGGTAAGTCATAATGAACGCAGCATCTAAGTACGAAATATTTTTCTCCATGTACGAGAATAAGTATCAAGCATCTTTTTAAAAGTACAGATACCAAGCATGTTTTTCAAAATCCATGTACAAATACAGCACTGTAAAATCGAAAATAACTTGAGGCGAATAAAAAAGAAAGGACATTCTATGAATTTCTACTAATTTGAAAATACGATATCGAGAAAAAGAGAAAAAAGAAATTCGATGTTCTAATTGAAAAGTCGAAAGTAAATTCGTATAAACATTTCTAGAATTTCGTATTGAGCTTAGCGATTCGATCATTTTAAAAAATAGAAAATCACTTTTTATTGAACGATTGAGTTTTTTTTAAATATTGATGTAAATAGTTCATATACTATCATGCTTCTATGCTCAAATAATGCATAACTTAATTGAATGTCACTGTTCAGGCATGCCATAGAAAGTTCATATTTTACATTCATTATTTTCTCGGTGAAAGTGATCATTAGACTCGAACATGATCAACTTTCTTCTTCATCAGTACAACTAGTAACATATATATGACTTCTCCCATAGATGAACACGTCGGGATAGTGGACACTTTTCACCGGTCTCGACAGTAATCATCTAAATGATGTTTCACAATAGTTATTATTCTTATTAAATACACTTGAATCATGATCATTTATTTGAAAAAGATTTGAAAAAAAGTCTGTTTCATCTCTTATGATAATAACCGATGATTCAATTTTTTTGTGTCGTCATTATAGTTAAATCACATTTGGCGTACTATAAGCACAACCAAATAAATAAAAACCTGTTCTTTATCAAAAAATAGACTACAAAGATATAGGACACGCATGAATACACACTCAAAATGAACGCAAAGAAAACAAGCTAGGAATACAGCGCTGTTATAATACTATTCTTTTTTACAATTAATAGCGGTAAAAAAAAACAAAACAGATATAAATGTTTGATGGAACTGTTCTCATTGAACAAACATTAATATATATATATGACTGAAAGACAAAAACAACAATACACAATATAATAATTTAAAATGATGATTTTCGATCATCTTGTTCATCAACATCAAGTAATAAAGTTGTACATGTTGTTGTATGATTTCGAATAATCGTATTGGAATTAATTCTTTCATCATTTTTTGTTATTATTTTATAATTTTGAAAATTTCTCAATAATTTTTTTTCAAATAATTGATTAAAACTTTCTATTCTTGATATTTGTAAATACATAAATTGATATTTTCTTAATTGTATTAATTGTCTATTTCGACTTAATGTTATTGCTAACCACCAACGAAATATAATCTGTTGTTGTTTTGTATATAAATAAATATCTCGTTTAGATGTTCGTAAATATTGATAACGCTTATTAATATGTTCATTAATAATTGAACAAAAATAAACAAGTACAGGATGTGTATGAAGACATTCCATATGAATGAATGATGCATATGATATAAAACCTGAATCCATTTTTTCTAATGATCGTCCAAGTATACAATAATCCAAACGTGGTAAAAAACCAAAATTAGTTATCCATGCTTTTAATAGACGAAATATAGAAGATACTATACCAAGAAAACAATCGAAGAAAAAATTGAAATAAGAAAACACAAAATAAATTCGAAGATTTTTTAATATCATCGTTTTTCCATGTCTAAAATAATTTAAATATTATTCGCAAAATTTAGAAGAATAAGAACATTATTGTATTCAATAGACATAGATATTATCGGCGTAATATGTAATGTCATCGTGTTCTATGCTGATTAGAGTAATTATACATTAAAATTCGATTGAAATAAAACTTTTATAAAAAGCTATTAGTCCGATTTCTGCAGAATTAAAATGTCAAACACGACAGAACTGTGTAGAATGCAAAATTTGACAATGTATGTTTCGATTTGTAAATTCAAGCGTATTATAAATGTATGTCCATGATGAGAAATACTGATCATAGTACATTATAGTCAATTTAAAAAAAATGGGCAATAACTCATATCTTCAATTCAATAATCTTTTAGTATAATCCTGTATTCAACTTCAATTTCATGGTTATGTCTGTCACGGTCTTTCGGAGAAGGAAAGAGCCCGATATTAGTATATTCTCTGATAGAAAGCGACTAATCACACTAGTGGTACACAAAAACAAAACGATTTATGTCATTGTAGTTCTTTACTTAACGGACAAAATGAAAGTAAAAAAACGAAATATTTTCATAAGAAGACTATAAGTTGGTTCTGAATACGAATGTTATAAAACAACAAAAGTGCTGTTAAGAACAAGTGTCTGTTAGACAAGATGATAAGAAAAGTCGAAAAAAGTCGAAGTTTAAAAATTAAACCTTCATCAAAAGTTATGTGAGTTCCACAAAATTAATAATAATCATACTACAAGTTTGTCGATACTAGATATATTTAGGATCATTTTTTTGGTTCTAGTCTAGAGAAAATAATCCAAAAATTTACTCGTCTCACATCTCAAAAATTTCTTCAATGCTCGTTTTTTTTTTAAATATTTCTAATCTCGAGTTGATTTGATATCGATCAGATCTCATCAAAATAGTCCATTTTCGATTATCGAACAATGATGAATTGCCAAATGAATCCAAAAATTTATCAATAACAAAGTCGGTTACATATAAACTACTTTTGGAAAACATAATAATGAATGAATAGGTTTGTAGATAAATTTTTGAATAATGAAGAGTTTTTAAATATTTAAAAACTCTTCATGATATTATTAATATACTTACTTTTGTAAAAAGAATGTTCTTGATAAAAACCATTGTATAATAAATGTTATTAAATAAATAACAAGAATAGGTATGAATATTGTTGCAAATTCTTCCATAAGAAATAAATGTTTAAATAAAACATGTAAAGCAATTAAAGAAAAAAAAATAATATTGCCTATAATAATATATCCAATCGTAAGATAAGCAATACAATATCCAGGATAATGTATATGTTTTGATATTAATCGAACATTTTTAAATGCTGATCGTGGTGGTATATCAATAAAAATACCTTTATAAGCATTAAGCATATGTTTTTGATAATTTTTCATTCCAAATAATAATTGTATAAAATAAATAATTGCTGTTAAAAAACATGCTAAAATCATTTCATATTTAAGATTATATAATTTTGGTTCAGGTAAATCAAATTCATCATAAAGAATTAATAATGGTATTAAAGTAAAACTATAAATTTTTTCAATGAGATTAAAACCATTTTGTAAAATATTAAATGTTAAATAATATATTAACATAAATGCAATCATATATATATTTAATATTTGTTTTGAATAATGAAAATATTTATTTGGTCGATAAATTTTATAAAGTAAAATTTTAAATAAAGAAATTTTCTTTTCATTTTTTATTAATGTTTCAAATGATTTTTCAAATAAATGATGAACATAATGATATTCAATGGAAAGACTTTCTCTTGAACAATTTATTGGTTTATGATAAATATGTTTTAATGATTTTTTAATAGAATTTTTTGTATTATCACAAGATAGAAATAAATGATAGATATTAATTATGAGAAGATATGTTAATCGAAAACAAATATATGTTAAACATAAATAATAAGGTGCATATTTAAGTACACAGACTATTGAACGATCAATACCAAATTGATCGAATGTAGATTGAGAATCATTATGATTAATAAACATAGAGATATTTAAATCTATTGATGACCAATTTAATGTATGGATAGATAGTGAAGATGGCTAAAAGAAAACGTAGATTATCTTCTTAGTTCATGACTATTATTTATTTTTTTCTTTTGAAGAAACATTAACTCATTAACGAAGACGAAGCTAAACATTAAAAGTTTTGAAGTAGTTAATGACGATTAATGAATTTTAACTTAGGGAAAACTTGAACTCTTCTCGTAAGATATTATATTCAAGGAGGAAAGGTTTTCAAGTGACCCACATCAATTGAACTGATTCGGCTGCTGAATTGAATTTTTGACTCATTTTTAGGTATTTATTAGAAAATAAAATAAGGAAATCATGTGCTGAAGTTTCGTTCATAGATTGATCCAATGATTTTAAAAATGTTCCATTGTCGAAATATGAAATTTTCAAATAGATCTGTAGCAAACGATTATTCTATGGAAATTTAATATTTTCAAGATGAAACATTCTTTTAGGCTGATATGTTTAGGATATTTCAAGGATCATTAGACCTATTTCTGAGCAAAACTTTAGAGTAAAATTCGATTATTTGATTTTTCAGTCAATGCCTAATACTGGATCAAAAATTTATTAAACTGATCATTACTCGACACTGACAGCTCATGAGGATAAATTTTTTTCGCTTTTTTAAACAGACCTTCTTGTAAGTTTAATATGAACTCAACCGACATGTTACAGGAGAGGTTGCTAGCTCATAATAGAACAAGAATCTTTGACCTTATTTTCAAAGATATAGCGGATTTGATGATTTCTCAGCAATTAAAGTCAGATATTATAGCTAATACATCTCATGAATCTCAAAAGATTCTGCAAGTTTCGGTGAAAACAAATGGTTCCTTCTTAAGATATTGAATTGGCAAGAAAACTCGATTCTCTTCAATTCATACAATCAAGCCTACTTAACAACAAAAAAAAATCACGTCAGTTGGCATTCGCTATTTGCAGACTTAAAGTCGTAAGGTCTTCTTTTTATTATGATACGTAATAACTTATAAGTCTGCAAAAACTCACACAAAATAAGTTAAATTCTCTTACTTGAATTGTTGAAGCGATAGTTGTAGTTATTGATTTTGTTCCTCGAAATAAGAATCGATCTTTAACTCTATGAAAACGATCTCTAAATGCTTCCGAATGAATATCTTCATTTTCCGGCATAAACATTGTTGTTGTCATAGTCAATGAATTTGATTCATATCTTGTTGTTAATTCATGTTTAAATTGTTCAAATTTTTTCCATGCTCGAATCAATGGATTAATATTAACACAAAATACATGTTCAAATATTCTTAGAATTAAATCTAACCACATATACAATGAACATAAAACATAATAAAGAATATTACCATTAGATAATTCAATAACAGAATAAACAGGATAATAACGTAGACCAACAATTATAATAAGACCAATTTGTCGTATAAGATCAAATAATGGACCAGTCATTGTAAGTAATTTTATTTGTGTTGTTCTTAGAAATATTTCTTCAATAATCTCAAGTATTTCATGACTAACAATACCACATAAAATTATTGTATCAAAACGATTTATTTTTGAAAATGGATTAAATGGTATTGGAATATAAATTGATAATTTTTCTTTATTTAATTGATAATATTCTTTTCGTGTTTGATTAATTATTATTAATAAAATAATAACTAAAGCAATAGGTAATGTTAATAAATTATGATAATAATTATTTTCATACAATATACAAAATTGAAATAATCTTGTTGAATGATTAACAATTTCTTTTATATAATTTCGTGCATTAATTATAATCATACAAATAAATATAGTTAATATTATAGATAAAATAATAAGAATAAATCTTTTTTGTTTAAGAAAAAGATTACGAATATAAAACGAAAATGAATATTGATCTTTATCTTCATCTAATCGTATTGATGAAGTGCACCAATGATGTTTTTTCTTTGGTGTAGAACTATTAATTAGATGAGCATTGGAAATCACATGATCGATTTTCTTTGACGATTGTTTTGTAAAATTAGATTGATTTCGAGCACACATCGAAACACTAAAATGTATTTATTTAGAACAATTCAACAATAGTAGCTACGGTACTTAGAGTGTAAATACGGAGCATTGATTCACGGGTACAGAATCTTTGAAGTAATGTTTTAATTGACATCCCTATCGTGTCTTCGAAAATTTCGAGTTTTTTTTGTTGGAAAACCCTCTGTCAAGTTTAAAAAGACGATTTTTCTCAGTTCTTTTCTGTCAGACATAATACATCCAATAGTATGTGAAATTTTTAGTTACTTCCACTTCGAAAAACAATCAAAAGATTTATTAATATCATTGTTCACTAAAACACTGACATCTGTATTTATTGCGACATTGAAACAGCAATAAGTCGATGATCAGTAATTTGAAAACGTACGTACTTAATGGCACTTACATATACCGTATGGAAAGCTTAAAGAAATATTTTCTCTGTATCTATGTTGTCATTTGTTCAAGAAATAGTCGGTTTCACTAATACTTGCAATGAACTGTGGTTAATCGATAGTTCTCTGATTAAACAAGCTGATAAGATGTTTTGTGCTACAAAATTAAATTTTTTTCTTCTAAATACACAAGTTATGAGAATCATAAACGTACATCGAAAATAGAGAAATGAATTTCCTTATACTTAGTATTGCACAAAAAATTTTTTATTCATCAGAAGATATTTCTATAATTTTCTTCAAACCACTAAAGATGTACGAGACAAAATTTTTTCGATCTCGATTTCTCTTAAAGTTTCATTTTGGGATCTTAATCCTGATTCCGATTACTGGAATTAGGATCCGAACAAGTTCCGTACATCTCTAGTTACCATTACTACTTTTGAGCTGTTGTAACTATGATTCTTTTATTTAAAAAAAAAATTTTTTTCGAAATAAACTTACATTTGATATTGCTCGTAGGTAGATTTTCTAAATGACCAAGAATCTTCTGATCGATCAAAATTGATAATATACGAAGCAATAAATGCAATAACAATAATTACACAACCAATAATGACTTGTAAACCTTGACTACTCCCTAAAACAAAAAAATTTCATTTAATATAATAATAAAAATTCTTTTAGATTTACATTTTTCACATTGATCTCCTGTATAAAAAAATCGACATTGACATTTACGTGAATTCATCAATGGTAAATTAATACATTTTCCATATTTACCACAATTACTACTATGATTATAACATCGATCAATTGCTACAATATAATAAATAAAATAGAGAATATTTTCTTTGAAATTTTTAATCATATTATTAAATTTACTTTGTTTACAAACATATGGTCGTAAGGCTTGTTCAACACACGGTGCTGGTGTAATAACACTTGTATTTCTAGCAAGCCAAAGAATACCACAATCATATGCAAGAATATCTCGATTATTATCAACCCAAAATCGATAAACAGGTGTTTCTTTCAATGGTATATTATTCGACCATAGCCAAGTATCTGAAAAGAATTTAAACAATTAAAAAATTTATATATATATATATATTCTATTAAAATTGAAAATTCATACTATTTATTTTACGTAATCCAATATAGACTGAAACACTTTCTGATCCTGATTTTAATCCAATAAGTTCACGTTCAATAAATTCATATTCATCGATTGATTCAATAGCTAATAAACCAGCATCTTTTATCATTGGTAATGATAAACAATTATTATGAGCACGTTCCCATGATGAAGCTGGTAATGTTTTCATATATGTATAGCATGAACCAGCAAAATATTTTGATGGTGGAAGACATTCTAAATCAACATATAAATAATTAATATTTAACTTTTGTTTTATTTTTCTATACATAATACATACGTATTCCATGTTTGACGTTTTCTTTAGCCTCTTTAAGTAATTGAAATGCTTCATAACTTCGTTTTTTTACTAAAGTAAAATAATTCATATTGAAAAAAAAGAATCTATAATAAGATTTCTTTTTTTGTTTTGTATACGTACTCGATGTTGTTTGAACATTATTAATAATAAGAAAAAATATCAATATCAAGAAAAATATTCGTTGAAACATTGAAATTTTATGATGACTCATATAAAAAATGAATATTTTTCTAACATCTAAAAGAATAAATAAATTGATAGATATATGTTAAGACAATACAATTATTTTAAGTCTAATCAAAATCTGATCATTCGTTTTTCTTTTATGCAATGATGTCTTCATCAATATTTCATTTTGAATAAGTCACGTTTTTTAACAAGACTTTTATTGCTACTATTCTCAATGCATCGTGCTCTTCAAAAATGAACACCAAAAAAAAAAAAAGAAGAAAAAAGGGTAAATAGAATCTCACACCTACTTGTTAATACGTATCAATAGAGAAGATTGATATCAGACGCCTATTTATATATTCCTTACACAACAAACAAGAAAAGATCAAAATAAAACGATATGTAAAATTAAAATTGACGATACTACTTTATTAAGTATTCACCGTCGTCGATTAATGTATATATTTGCTTGTACATGTATACTGATAACATATAGTAGAAAACGATCAATCAATAAATATAGATTATTACAGAAAACTGAACGACATGACTTTTTTCAATGACCGATATGTACGCCCATGTTTGTCATGTACATTTTATGAAAAGATTATAATGGTTGAGTAAAAGAGATATAACTTATGCAACTCATTCTTTTGAAGTCGATTTTTTTTTCTACTTGATAATGTTTGTTCAAAGAAGGCCATTTTCGTATTGAATAAAGTCAAGAAAGAGAATAAAATGAACAAAGTAAATGGTCAGTTATGATATAAACTATTACATCAAGCGGAAGCAAAAAGTTTTCAAGAACAACAAAAAAAAAAACTTAATGTATATTTTATCTTGCAATCGAAGAAAAATTGAAGGTTCTCGATTATCGTATCTTGCACATTCAATGATCTTTGAACAATGTGCATGAATAAACATATATTAGAGATATGTACGTAATAGTCATTCTTACTGACACATTCAATCAACCGTATTTACTCTGATTACCTATTGAAATCGAACGACAAGTAGAACTACTACTAACATTTGTTATTATTGATTGATATCTTCAACTTACTATTTCTGATCAACAACAGTAGTCGATATTGTATAACCGGAACGAAATATATAAGGTATATTATTCTTTCTTCTCTCTTTCATGAGTACAATGGTGTCGTGTGCGAGTACGCAAATACTATATAGAATAATACAATACATAGTGGTACTCATTAAACAACAGAGTCTATACATATAATATATATGAAATATAGCCCGGAACGAATGTATATGGATATATTACATAAGCAAAAATAAAATAATGAATTTAAACAATCCATTAAAGGATACTGACAACAATGATTGAATAGGTTGAGTATATGTATATATAAAAGAACAGGTCAGTACGGACGAAAGGGCTTCTTGTAATTTGTTTTACTATACAATCAAACTAGGCTTCTTATATATCTAATCCAGATATTCACTAATAATAGAAAAATAAAAGTATCGATAAGTAATAAAAAATCAAACGATAACACATATGTTATATAAAACAATGAAATATAGACTTATTTTTTACTGAACAAATAATTATACATATATATCAAATACTTATTATCATTTAAAATATATCTGTTTATTTTACAAAGGATAATATATATATATGTGAACATGACCAGACTACGACATCATCTTCATATTCTCCTTCAAAATATATGATAACAGTTATCAGACTAACAACAACATGCCTAACTTTTCTTATAACACATGCTTATATGTCTCATACTCACACTTGAATGTGTACAAGAAGAACTATTTAATAAGATGATGATAATAATAAATATTGAATGAGAACACGTACTGATAAGATGTTAGAATAATATGTCATCATAGACTATTGGAATGAGAGAGAGACAAGAAAAAAAAAAAAAAAAAGAATTCTCATTATTCATGATATCACCTGTTGTAGTCATACAACTGCTATTTTGATTACACAAGAACGATAATAATAATAATAATACTATTGTACACTATTCTTCTTTTGATCTCATATATCACTAGATTGGGATACAAGACAAAAATCAATTAACTTACTAAATCTGCTCATCAGGACATCTCACATCAATGTGTTGGTTTGTCATATGCATATCATCAATATAGCAGATCATTCAACAATATAGTGTGATTGAAGAAGAAAAAAAAACTTTATGATGATGAGTGGTCAATGTTAACGCTCTCTTTTTCGTTCACTTGCTCTCTTGTCCTGTAAGAATTTTATCCATTGAAGAGAACAAACATTTTTTCATCATCTATTGATTTGTCCTTTAAACATCATTGTCTTGCATGATATTCACAATGCTCTCTCTCTCTCTTTTTCAATTGTGTCTCAATATCTTACTAAAAACATAAATAGCCTTGTGAAATGATAGACCATTGATTATTCTTTTTGTCTATAAATATATACATACATTCTTTTGTTCGAAATGAATTTCTAAGTACGAATAAATGACCCTTATTTATATTCTCAGATTAGTTTGGATTTTGTATTGCACAGAAGAAAAAAAAATTATTCTCTTATTTACAGAGTGGCAGAGTTCATTATAAACTATTATATAGATACAATGTCAATGTATAAAGAGACAGAGACGATCAAGGATTGACAAAGGCTAATCCTTACCTTATAATTAAACGAGGTTGGAAAGTCATCCTTGGTTTCTTTTGCTTCTTTTTTTGTATTTTATCGTCTCGACATAAAACCAAAGAATACCGTTATATTATCGTCTATTCTAATCAAATTAGATTGACTAATGCAATCTATCTATCAATAGAGACACATAAGCGGTCAAGTGTTCTTTTTTTTTTGTGGGTTGAAAGTAATTGAAAGGAATAACAACAACTAAAAAACAGCGAGAATCGGTTGTTTGAAATGATATGAATGTCTGGTGTCGAATTGTTAGACTCATATGATCTCTTTCTATGCATAGATGAATATAGAGCAAGTGTAATTAATATTTGATTAAACAAACTCAAGAAGTATATTTAACAAACAAAACAAATAAAGGGAATAAGAAAAAAGAAACAAGAGATTTACTTTTTCAATTATCTCTTCATTTTCAATAGAAAACTCAAATTGAACGAAAGTTTTTTTTTTCTGTTTTTACTTACTTCTTACATGAATCAATTTTTTTTCTGGCTATGTTGGCATCATGATGAAATATATGTTTATACTGTTCTCTATTTTAATTCATTTCATTCATACATATACACATATGTAAAGCTTAGACTGAACAAAACCTTGAAAAATGAATGTCAATTTCATGTTAAATCACTCATTCTCTTTTTTCGTCATTTGAGTGTGAGACTCATCGTTTTCTATTCTGACCAAACCAAGGGCTCATCTTCACTTACTTATATGACAGGTTCATATACACAAATACAACATGTACATATACATAAAATACATAAATTGAATTTGAAGGTGAACGAAAATCTCTCATATGTTAATGCAAAGTCTCAAGAAAGAAAGAAAGAAAGAAAGAAGAACATTATTATACAATATGGATACGTGTATATATCTATATCAAAAGAATAACCTTGAAAAAGCTCGAGTTGCACGTCAGTGACATGATCATAGAATGAAATGTTGTGAAACATAGATAATGATATATAAATGAATGAATACGACATATCAAGGTGAACTATAGTCTCAATGTCTTTAAAGATCATCTTTTGTTTTTTCATCAGCATCAAATAAAAAAGTGGGAAGGGAAGAGATCAATGATAATAAATGTTTTCTTTTTAAACTTACTTTAATAGAAATGATGACAAGAAAAAATGTATTGTAATATTCTCTGTACAGAAAAAAAAAAAGAACAACAGTTCCAATGGTACAATGCAAATAATAAGATTAGCAGATGAAATATGTTCAATTTCGTTTTTATTCTATTTAAATCATAAATATAATTTTAATGACAAATTAAAAAAATTCAAAACATAGGTGTGTAATTCGTCACATTATTATTTATGATAATAAACTACAAAGAGTTTTTGTTATTGTTATTGAATAAAGAAAAGTAATATTCATCTATAAAAAAATGATCGATTGTCCAATAAAAATAACAGTCACATTGGCTATGAATCGTGTAAAAATAAAAATTGTTTCATTACATCACAATCTGTATCAATAATAAACAGTTGATCAAATGAGAAAAAGTGATATCGCACACATTTGAAATAATACACTTCAGTTGATGATTATGTTCGATAAGAAATCTTGATATTCAAGGATATATGCACATTTCTAAACTCTTAACATACGATTATATCTATCTAAGGAAAAAAGTACATTTGCCGCAAATTAAATGTAGAGATAACAATTGAGTTGTTGTTCTATGTTCTTGATCAAAAATCAAATTATCTTGTTTGACATCCGGACAGTTGATACGATTATTATTTAAACTAACAAAAACAAAAACGATATGAATATCATTTTAGTGTTTATTCGATCTATGATGATATTTTTTTTCTTCTATATTTTATTCAAATGTTAGCATGTTTGTTTTGTTTCAATACCGATAAATTCAGTTCGTTGAGAATTTATTTAGATAGTATGATTGAATCATAATAGTTTTGTTTTCATTAAGAAATAATCATGGAGAGAAAAAAAAAGAAAGATTTTAATTGGAATATTCTACAGTTATTTATTGTAGCCAAGTAGATAAAGTACAGTAAACTCCAGTCGAACAATGAGAGGAATTTGGAATTAGTAATTCGATGGCTGAATTTTTCTAATTCTAGCCAAAATCGATCATAAACAGGCAGAATCGAATATTGGATCTGATTACTATTTTTCTGCTTTCAAGCTTTTACTATTTTTCTCTTTGCAGAATCATTGATGTAGGCGGTAGAGATTTTTCGTTCATAAGAATCAATTCATTTATAGATGCCCCAGATGAAGTACATTGGTTATATTTATTTTTATTTGATTGAATACAAACATGTTTAAGAGATTGTTGTGTTTGTCGATAACCTCTTGGAAGCAGTTTAATCGTACAGGATTGCTAAAAAGTATTTTTCTAGGGAATGAAACTCATTGGTAAAGTGAAAGAAAAGTAAAAAAGTTTTATATCAATAAAAGTTCATCAAAAACAAGATTTATGAGTATAAATGACAACTTATGGAATGATAAAAAAAACCATAGAATCATGAGAAGTTTGAAAATTTTTTGCAGTATCATTGGATACTTCTATGGATAATTGGTTATGAAAGTCAGAGATTGGCAGAAAACTTTATCACCTATCAAGCAACACCATTTATTCGTCAAAGTTGAATGTTTTCTTTTTTTTACTGAAATGATCAGTGCAGATAGTTTCACGGAGTCGAATAGATGAAAAGGTTTTCTGAAAATCTTTAGTTTTTATGACTGGCTACTCAGTGTACACATAATAGTGTGACCCATCGATGGATTACATCGCCGTGAATGTATTAAGAAATATTACTTACACTTGAATATCATCAAGTTCATGTTTTTATTGTTGATTGATATTAATGAAATTAGACTTTTTAGGATATCACTGATATTTGCATACGTAAAAACAATTTTGAAATCTGTATAGTTTTATAAAAAAAAAAAGGGACAGATATGAATTTTCATAGTATTACAAAGGAAAAGAAACCAATGATTTCTTATTTCATATGTTGGTTTTATTTAAAAACAAACAAACAAACAAATCATCTGACAAAACAGTTATTACTTATTAAACATTCTATAATATAGTTTCTGTTCGTTTTTCTTTTGTTGTTCTATAGCTCGATCAAGTCTTTGAGCTTCATCAATTATTTCGGCATTATATGGTTCAATATTGATTGCTGTATTAAGATAAAGTCTTGCTTGATCAAATTGATGTAATGAACGATAAGCAATACTTATTCGAAATAAAGCTTTGATATTTTTAGGATCTAATTGCAAGACTTCATTACAATTTTTAATTGTACGTTCATGATTTCGTAATTTGAGATAACATTGAGCTTAAATAAAATTAATTTTTTAAATTAAAGAATTCTCAAATATATAAGAGTTTATAAAAATTCGTTTAAATGCTCTAATCATGATTCCTGACCGAACACTTTCATGTCTATTCAGAAAATACCAAAACCAACTACTTTCATCATAAAAGTTGCATACAGATGTTTAACAAAAAAGTAATGTTTGCATTGGTGTGGGTAGAAAAATTATTTTCCTCAATATTGTGGTGTATGTCAAAATTACTGTTGCCGTTTTTCAAGCATCTTCACTAGAGATATGTGGGACCAACTCATTGAAACTGAAGCTACAAGAAAATTTGTTCTAAGCTGTACGATAGGAATAAGTTTTCTTTGGACACGGACTTGAAAAACTAAAATCACTAAGGTCGACATTAGATTAGATTTACGAAGACGGAGATGAAAAATTTGGTCCCGCACTTCTCTAATCTTTACAAAACTTTTATGATGACACTGGTAGGCGTTAGTATTTTTTTTTGTATTAGCATGAAAATATTCAAACCGAAACTACGATTACGATGTTTAAATGACCTTTCAAAATTTTTTATCTGTTTCAATTTAAATTATTTTTCGTTCTACCTGAATTGAGATAAAGTTTAAGTAAAAGTTCTTTATATTGTATCGTTTGATTTTCATTAGTTGTTTTAGTTTTAAGTAAAAATTGTTTTCCTTTTGCATAATAACGAATAGCTCGTTCAAGATTATGTTTAGCATATTCATCCTAAATATAAAATCTTTGATGAAATTTTTTTTTTTTTTTGCTTGAAACTTTTATATTACATTTCCCATATCACGTAATGTTTGTGCAATACGTATACGTTCATCAAAATCTTCTGTTAATTCATCATCACTAATTTTTAATTTATTTAATTTTTCAACTAATGTACAATCAATCCATGAAATTAATTCAATAATAAATAAAGACCATGCTTTTGGTGGAATACGTGGTGGACAACCTAGATATATGAAAAAAATAACAATAAAACTTATGATAAATCAAACATAAATTAAATACAGACCATATTCACCATAGAGTAAATCACTACTCATAATAAATTTTGCTCGTTCACGTCTTTGCATTGTTCGAACAGCTAGATCTAAACCTGGTAGAACGTTAAATTTTCCTAATTGAAATTCACATGGTCGACGTCGTATATACTAAATAAATAAATAAATAAATGAATAAATTTAAATTTCATTGAATTAATAACTTACTGTACTATCATATGGTTCATCATTAAGTTCAAAATATGCATTATAATGTATACGTACAGTTGAACCAAGTGGTGGTGTTTCTCCAACACCAGTATAAATAATTTGTTTCCATATTCCACCGGCGGCTTCACTACTTGGTACACCATTTAATGGTATACCATCATCTCCATTAGTTTTAATTAAATGTTGCATACCACCAAGCTAAAGACAAATAACAATAATGATTAATGTGAATATACAAAAAACAAAACAATCAAACTTGATCATCAAAATCTTGTGTATTATCAATTAATCGTTGATTAAATAAATCTCTTGATGGTATTGTTGATTTAAGTTCATCATTAATATATTGATCAGTATTAGTTTGTTGATTTTCTTTAACATCATTCATTGCCATTTGTGTTGCTATTCGTGCTAATTCAGCTGGATCTAATTCATTTTGATCAAGTTCTAATATTTGACCTTTACTTGAACATAATGTTTGCATATCAATTGGTTTACGTAATTTAACATGACCATATTCGTCTTCATCATCAATAGGTTTATTGGATGTAGCACGAGCTAATGCTTCATCTGTCCATTCACCATATTCATCAAGATCAGCATCCTATTCAAATAAAGTTAAATGAGAACTCATGATTATATATATATATAGTTTGATTTGATTATTGTCGTATGAAAATATATTTACATCATTAAGAAGTTCATTGAGCACTTGTTCACTTGCTTTATTTAATTTAGTCATAGAAAAATTTGTCGTTAAACTAAAATATATCGATTTCTTGCTCGAATAACTGAATATTCGTATAAATTGTACATAGAAGTAAACGCTACTTTCAACGTATTAAGTTTCATAATGATGTCGCTACTATCTTCTATGAACACTTTTTTTTTTGAGTTTTCAATTAGATTATTTCATGTTTCAATATATCGTTTGTTGTCATTTAAATTAGAGATTATAGTTGATTAATATTCATGTGTTTGTCGTTCATTGGTCATTCGTTACTATGGAAAAGAAGATGCAAAGAATGAAGTATGATATCCTAATAACAGATAAAACCACAGAAATCTATCTTATTATTTCTTATAAATTTTCAATAATGGTAAAGCAAAAGTAGACTTGAGTCATCAAACTTGTGTCGAGTCTACCATGAATGATATTGAAAACTATGTTAAAGTGACACTTTGAATGTGTTAGAGTGGATTCAACTCATCATAAGTAAAAATTCTGTATCCACTACTAATTTTTAATATTGATCGATAGGTTTTTAGTTTATCGCATTAGGATAAAAGGATGGTATATAATATGTTTGAAACTTTTGTTTAACGAAAACGAACTTATGCTGATGAAAGAAAAAAAATATTAAATAAACAAAAGAGAGGGTATATTGTCACCAAAGAAAAAAAAAAACAGTAAAGTTTAAGTCAAATTTGTTGTTCTGTTAAGAAAAAAAATAATTTTTCTTCTTAATAAAGTTTGTTTTTTTTCGCTCGAAAAGGAACACTTTTAAAAATAAGCATTCTTGATGTTTTACTGAATTACGCGTTAAGAAATTGTGCATCAAACTTTTTATTTAGAAACGACCAGTTTTTTTTCTATAGATTTTCTTTCTTTGTTTTGTTGAACTTCGACTTGTTTTCTTTTCTTTCGATATTCCTGTTTTTTGGATAATAGGAATAATAATTAATTAAAAGACATCGATCTTTAATTTTCAACGTCATGGAATTGGGTGAATCAAACTATGCTCTTATATCAGTATTATATTTAGTTTTATAAATTTTCTTGTTAATATTATTTCTTGGTTTTTTTTAAAGAGCCCATACGATAGTTTTATGCGAAAACATCTTCAACACTATGGTTATTTTACCGGTAAAGTTTGTGTTGTTTAATGAAGTGTTGATCTTACTTTATTTGTCAAGGCCGAAGTGAAATCATAAAAAAATATGGCTTTGTTCCTTCAAAATCTCAACTTATATCATCATCGAGCGACTCTGAATCAAGTTCTGGTGATGAAGATCAAGCAAGTAGGTTTTTTTTTAAAGCATTTTTAATTAATTTATTCAGCACTTTTTTTATAATAAATTCACCAAAAGTGAAATATATATATATATTTTTTCTTCTTCCAGTACATAGTGATCGTCGATCTCCTCAGGAGAGTTCTGGTGGGTTTTTTTAACTTGCATGTTGTCTATATTAGACATAGAAGTGATGGTTTTTTTCTTCTTTTTTCTATAATATATTGATGTATATGTTTCATCAATATGTTATCAAATGAATTATAAAATGTTTATTAATCATCTTAACATTGAGGTTTTTGAAATTAGTAAAAAGCTTTTAATTATTGCATGATATAGATCGGGGGATGCATGAAAAAAGAAATTTTTGTTTTTTTTTCCAAATTGATCAATATTATACTAATATGAATTATTTAGAATATAAAGGCAAACCATTTGTTCCGGATCGAAGAATAGTACGTTTGGAAAATCTTTGAATATTAAGTTTTAATTTATGGCATTCTATTTTCGTTTAGCCTGTTCGACAAACTCGTCTTTCATATAGTTTAAATGTACGAGGTCAAAATGATGAAGGTTCATTTGAACCACGATGGCCCATTGAAATTGAAGTTTTAACCGAAGGACGTGTTAAACATATTAATGTACCACCGCAACAGCCCGAACTTTTCTATAAACCAAGTTTGTTATTTTTATTTAGAATTTTTTATTGTCGGTAATTGATCTATTTTAGCTACTGGTCATATGCCATTTGTTCGTAGTTATGATGAGAATAATGGTCGTGTTGTATTTAATTATAGTCCAGAAACATGTGGTTATGTAAGTTATATGATTGATTTTACTTTTTTTCTTCTTTTGAAATATGTATGTATTTATATATATATATATATTGTAATAAATAGTTTATTCGATCTCGAATCGGTGGTAATAGAGAAGGTTGTAGACCAGCAGCTGTAACAATTCGAAATTCTGAAGATACAACTGTATTATTTGAATCTCGTTTTGAAAGTGGAAATCTAATGAAAGCTGTTCAAGTGTAAGATAAATTAAAACAATTTATTTGATTCTGTTTCTTTATTCATAGCGGTGAATTTGAATATGAACTCTATCTTCGATATGATCTTTATACAAAACGTAATACACAATGGTTTTATTTTCGTTTACAAAATATTCGAACTAATAGACGATATCGTTTCACTATTGTTAATTTTTTTAAAGTAATCATTTATATTTCTATTCTGATTGATTATAATTGCAAAATTCTTTAGCCTACAAGTCTTTATAGTAGTGGCATGAAACCTTTGATGTACAGTGTAAATGATGCAGAAAATAGAGGAATTGGATGGCGACGATGGGGTGAAGAAATAGTCTATTACAGAAATAATCTACCGTATGAATATTATATATATATATATATGTCTTTTTATTTAAAATATCATTTATTATTGTGTTTTTAGTACACCTGATAATCCCTCATCAAATATGTATTCACTTACTTGGACATGTAAATTTCCAAATGATAATGATACATATTATTTTGCTCATTGTTATCCATATACATATTCTGATTTACAAGTAATTAGATAATGTATTTTTCTTTATTATAATTTTTTAATTATTAGGATTATTTAAATGATATTCAAAATGATCATATAAAAAGTCAATATTGTAAACAAAAAGTTCTTTGTCGAACATTAGCTGGTAATTTTATTTATTTGCTTACAATAACAAGTCCAACAACATCAATAAGTTCTATAAATGTATCTACATCACCTGAACAACAAATAAAAAAAGGTGTTGTTGTTACAGCACGTGTTCATCCTGGTGAAACAAATGCATCATGGATGATGAAAGGATTATTAGATTTTTTACTTAGTGATTCTGCTGATGCTAAAGTATGAATAATAATTTTTGAATCAATTTATTGTTGTTTTTTTATTTATGATTTAGGTTCTTCGAGATAATTTTATTTTTAAAATTATTCCAATGCTTAATCCCGATGGTGTTATTGTTGGTAATTATCGTTGTTCATTATCGGGTCGAGATTTAAATCGAAATTATAAAACAATATTGAAAGATGCTTATCCTTCTATTTGGCATACAAGAGAAATGATCAAAAGGTTTGAACATTCATATATTTATATAGATTAGGCATGCATTGGATTCGAACTCTGGCTTGATGTTCGAGTACGGAAACTATTCCCATCAGTTTAGACAGTATCGATTAGTTATGCAAGCGTTTCTTGAGATATATAAGCTACCATGTAAGCATCCTAATGGTCAATTAAGTTCGAACTCAAGTATTTCTGAATATTCTTGACTTTGTCTAGCATACATCCTGACTTTCAGTTTTTAGATCATTTATTTCATTGTGTGTAGATCTACCATAGCCAAGCTGGAAATCCTTTCTTTAGAGTTCTATTTTCTTTAATTAATAGACTGAAAATGATAAGCAGTCGAGAGCAAATCTGAGCCAAACTTACTGAATTCGAATGTTCGAATTCAATGTATGCCTAATATAGATTAAATTCAATATTATATATTTATAGATTTATGAGTGAAACAGAACTTATTTTGTATTGTGATTTTCATGGACATTCAAGAAAACAAAATGTTTTTATTTATGGTTGTGAAAATAAACATTTACCAAATGAACGATTAAAAGAAAGAATTTTTCCCGCAATGCTATCAAAAAATGATCCAGCTAAAGTTTGTATTTCATTAATTTTCTTTTTTTGTTTTTGAAATCTCTAAATTTTTTGCTTTTTGTTTTTCAGTTCTCATTTTGTTCATGTAAATTTAAAGTACAAAAAAATAAAGAAGGAACTGGACGTGTAGTGATGTGGGCAATGGGTATTTTGAATAGTTATACATTAGAAGTATAATTATTTAATTCTAAATGATATATTTTTACATTGATAATAAAATTTTAGGCTACTTTTTGTGGATCAACACAACAGGATCGAACAGGTCATCAATTTACTACAGAAGATCTTGAATCTATTGGTTATCATTTTCTTGATTCTTTACTTGATTATTGTGATCCAGATCATACGAAAGTAAGTTTTTGTACAATTATCTTTTTCAATTAATTTATTAATGCATCATTCTTTGAATATACATCAGTCAAAATCATCATAAATTTCAACGTCGAATAACAAAAGAAAAAAAGAAATTTTTATAATTTTAGTACATAGATTTCTATGTTCTTCTTTCTCCTATGTTTGTTCTGTAGCCTTTCTTTCGATGTTGTATTGTCATTTTTGTTTGTTTTAAATAGATGACAATAATTGTTGTTATTTTATATTTTAGCGTGATAGAATATTGCATGAATTAGAAGATACTATACGACATACAATTCAAATGAAACTTCTTTCACGTGGTATTAATGCAACATCATTAGATGATATTGATTTAGATCAATGGTCATCTGAAGATGACTCAAGGTATCAAAAATAAAAAGAAAAACTTAATTATAAATCGAATATTTATTTTAGTGATGATGGAGGATCAGATTCATCAATTGATGATGGTCTACCAAAACATTTAGAAGTTATTGCTGCTGCTAAAGTAAATTTAGCTATAGAAGAAATCTAATTAATAAAATTAATCATATAATTCTAAGATTCAATTGAAAAAAACTCGAAAGAAAAAATCAACTACAAAAGCATCAAAAGAATCAAAAAGAAAAGATGAAATTGATAAAGAAAATATTGATAAGGTAAATATATA